TGGAATAGAGGGTGAATTGGCCTTTTTAAGCACCTTACAACTTGCATTGGTTGGAACTCTGAGTAGGAGCACCACCATTGGGTGAGAATACACTGGAACTCTGTATTCTAGCCACTGTTATGTCATTTTATTGTTGAACTTTAGAATGTTTAAGGTTAGCTGATAAATAGCTTTGGGAATAATGGCAGTACTGCACATGCTATTGCAGAGTAAAATGAATACAGGGAACGAAACTTGGATAATATGCATTTGAGCGAAGGGGAGCTCCGTTGATGCTATGGTCTAAGAATAACTCTGTGCAAGTCTAAAAGCCCTTAAGCCTCGTATTCCTATTTCCATCTGTGAAATTTTGGAAGTTAGACCTAGCACAGCCCATTCTGGTTTCCCCCTTCTTCCTGAGACATGCTTCTCTATCCTCCAAAATACGGACTTTTCTGATGTAGGGCGATTTGCAAACTGCATCTCTGTTAGGGAGTTTCTGCACTGCACCATTTTGGAAAAAGTGGGGTATCAGCAAAGCACTTGTGCTTTCGATTCTCCCTGCTTCTGTGAATCTGAGTCCAATTTTGTTTTGGGGAAGCATACAAAAAAAGAATTGAACGGAAATTAGTAATGTTGTATTGCAGATGCACATGCTTAGACTCTGAAGGTTTGACCTAAACATCTGGTCCTGTCTCCTCTCTCCCCTTAACATAGTTAAGACCATATATTAATCCACACCTCTCAACAATCTTTCTGCAATCTCATAGGAAGAAGGGGTGAACAATTTCTTAAGCAATAATGTTGTAAACAAAAATCTGCCCGTTTTCCCTTATGGGGTATCCAAGAGCCCATATAGAGTCCTTACGTAGGTTCCCTATTGGTAGGAGAAAATAACAGAGGCCAACCAGAGAATATTGAGAAGCAAAGCAGCTAGTAAGCCTGATCTTTATTGATCTGTTGCAACAGGGTCCTCGTTCACCACACGCAGAAGGGAGGAACCCAGAACAATGGTGTGCAAGTCCTTATATAGACTTTTGAAATTCCCACCCTGTAGATCAAGACCACCCCCAGAAACATACATACATACATCACAGAAGGGGTGTAGCTCAAGACCCCCCCCCTCCGATACATTGTACCTACATCACAGAAAGGAGAAATCTGAGTGCTTTGTTTACCTCCTGTCTGCCAGGTTACCTGTTTAATGGTCACTTGATTGGGTTGCCTGGGGAGCCTGACCAGTCTTCTGTAATTATAAATACTTAGTTCCTGAGCCAGGTCAGGCTCACACCCTATTCATATCTTAAATGTGCCCTTAAGACAGGATTTGTGAGGAAAGAGACAATGGGGAGGTTTCCCACTTTGACCTTGCAGAGAAATAATTGAGGTCAGTTTGGGAATAAAAGATGGTTTCAGGTCAGTCTTCCTGTGCTGATCTATGTACGTGCTTGGTTGGTACACTTATGAACATTTAACATATATCTAAGACCTCAAAATTCCTATCACAATAAGAATGGTAGTCTAATTCTCACAAAGCAGATGAAGTGGATTTTATTTTGAATGTGAATGACAGGGTTTGAAGCTTCATATATACCATTACCTGCTCTTGGGAGATGAGAGCGTTGGCCCATCTCCAATGTATAGTTAGTGCTGGGTATTTTTCTCCTGGGCAATTTTTTTCAAGCACATTCATATTCCACCTGCAATCCAAAGTGATCCACATAAAGGACAGCTTGACCACCTCTCTCCTGATTTATCTAAGGTACTGTAAGAGTTGAAAGAGTAAAGAAGATTCTATGACCAGTCCCTGCAGGGCATTTTAAAGTAAAAATGCAGGTCTCTTGGATTAGTTTATAAGGGTTGTATGAAAGCACAGTTGTAAGAAATACACTGATAAATGTTTATGTGCCCATTGTGGAAGAACAAAACCTGCTCACCACATCTTTATTTAGATGCGAGTTGTATCCAGAGCAATCAACAGTACCAAATTTGGCTTGAGCCTTGAGAATTGTTAGGAAAGGTACTAATAAGATTTTGCTAGGCCACATCACAGAGTGAAAACATAATTTCCATCTTCCACAGCATGAAAACTGAAGGATGAAAGCAGCTCCAGACATGCCCTGATGTCTGGTTTCCCTTGCAAAAGGCAAACCTGGATGAGCAATACTTTCTACAACTAGCTGAATACAATACAAACTAGTTGAATACTGTACAATATTCAGCTAACAGTAATAAAACCATGAATGGTGGATAGGATTCTTAAATGTTCATAAATGTACAAGGCAAACACATACATAAGCATTTAAACCACGTCTGAAATAGTACAGGAGAGCAATCCTGAAGCCATTTTGACTCTCCCAAATTGACCTCAAATATCCCTGCAAGGAGGAAGGAAATGGGAAAAGCTTTCCAGTTATCTGGACAGTAGGGGCTTACACCTCCCTTTTCAAATAACAGTCTGGCAAGTATCTGTTAAGCTGAGCAAACTATCAATATGCTTAAGAGATTCAGGAACTAAAGTATTTACCATCTCAAAGGAATGGCCAGGCTACCCAGAAAATGCAATCAAGTAAGGCATTATCAGGTATCCTGGCAGACAGGAGAGGCAACACACTCAAATTTCTGTCTCCTACTGTGGTGTATGTATGATGTTTTGGGGGGCGATGTTGGGCTACAGGGTGGGCAATTTCAAAAGCCTTTATAGGGGCTTGCACACCATTATTCGGGGTTCTCCTCCCTCCTGCGTGTCGTGAGTGGGGACCCTGTTGTAACACATTATTTCCATTAATAAAGATCAAGCTTACTAGCCACTTTGCTTTCAATATACTCTGGTTGGCCTCTCCTTCCTATCTGACCGATAGAGATCTCCTGAGGGACTCTGTACGGGCTCTAGATACCCCATAAGGGAATTAGAGGTATTTTTCTTATAAAAGCCCCAATACAAAAAAAAAGGTATGCAACTCATTCATTCAAACCTTAGCAGCTACTACCTTCTTCAATACTAGAATCACAGTTCCTTTATTTCACCCTTTTATCAATTAACTGGGCCTTTGAAGCGTTGGTCATGGCTCTATGCATAGGGTTTGCAGATATTATTATTATTAGAATTATAATTTATATACCGCTTATATAAATCTCCGCTTATATAAATAGAAAAAAAAACTCCTTTTCCCTTTTGGGGTATCCAAGAGCCAGTATAGAGTCCTTAAGTGGGTTCCCTATTGGTAGGAGAAAATATGCCAACCAGAGAATATTGAGAAGCAAAGCAACTATTAAGCCTGATCTTTATTAAACTGTTGCAACAGGGTTCTCACACATGCAGGAGGGAGGAGGGACCCAGAGCAATGGTGCGCAAGCCCTTATACTTTTGAAATTGCCCACCCTGTAGCTCAAGACCACCCCTCAAAACATCATACATGCATCACAGAAGGGGGTGGTCTACAGCAGAAATACATCACAGGAGGTGGTCTACAGCAGAAATCCTGTTTGCCAGGATATCTGTTAATGGTTACTGATTGCTTTACCTGGTCACATTCATACACAAATACGCCCTTAAGACAGGTAAGCAAAAGACAATTCTTTCCCATTGTCCTCCTTGTAGAGAAATCTGTTGTTGTTTAGTCGTGTCCAACTGGGGATGGACCAGAGCACGCCAGGCACTCCTGTCTTCCACTGCCTCCTGCAGCTTGGTCAAACTCGTGTTTGTAGCTTCGAGAACACTGTCCAACCATCTCGTCCTCTGTCATCCCCTTCTCCTTGTGCCCTCCACCTTTCCCAACATCAGGGTCTTTTGCAGGGAGTCTTCTCTTCTCATGAGGTGGCCAAAGTCTTGGAGCCTCAGCTTCAGGATCTGTCCTTCCAGTGAGCACTCAGGGCTCATTTCCTTCAGAATGGATAGGTTTGATCTTCTTGCAGTCCGTGGGACTCTCAAGTCTCCTCCAGCACCATAATTCAGAAGCATCAATTCTTCAGCGATCAGCCTTTTTTATGGTCCAGCTCTCACTTCCATACATCACTACTGGGAAAACTATAGCTTTAGCTATACGGACCTTAGTCGACAAGGTGATGTCTCTGCTTAAGATGCTGTCTAATATTTGAGGTCAGTTTGGGAGAGTCACAATGGCTTCAGGATTGCTCTCCTGTACTATTTCAGACACATGGATTATATACTTTGTGTTCTCCTTGTACATTTATGAACGTTTTATATTTGGGACCTTAGAATTCTTTTAACACTGCTCTATACCCAGAGGTCTCAGGGCAGTTTACAGAATAAGCAGCATTCATTCCTATGGGAAGCCCTTTGGATTTTGGTAGTAATTCAGTTTGAAACTCTAGCCTGCATCAGTTGGGTAATGTAAATCAGCATTTAAAAGTAACTTGAAATACCAAGTGTCAAAAATACTAGGATAAGCAGTAAAAGAAGAAGATATGCAAAAAGCGGCAGACTTTTGGGATTTGTGAAGCCCCTCGTACAGGAAGTCAACAGAAATAAGAGAAAAATTCGAAATTGTGCTTTGACTGTATGTGTTAAAAATGCTTAAGCTTCATAAAATATAATGGTGGGGCAGAACTTTCGAAAGTCTGATTATTCGATAGACGGTTGCTTTTCAACTGTTTTATTATTGCAGAAGCTTTGAATTTCAAAACAGTCACGGGCTCGATTGCTATAGCGACCGTCAAGGAGCGTTTCGAAAGCTCTACGTTAAATCCGTTCAGCCGTCCGGAATCGCGTGGCCACGCGGCAACCGCCGCCGAAAAGTTCCGCGTTGTTTGCGGCCGCGCCGAGGCGAACAAGAGGCCGCACGCAACTTGCGTCAGCGCCGTCGCCGTAAGACACGCCCGCCTCTATTCCGACAGCTGCGCTGGCTGCGCAGCCTTCTGGGCCTTGTAGGCAGCGCGCGGCCTTCGCGTCCCGCGACGGAAGAGAAGGGAGGGCCTCGTTTGATTGGCTCAACGTTGCCAGGGGCCCTCCGCATTGGTCAGCCCGTCCGCTAGAGGCCCCGGCGAGCAACCGCCGCCCCGCCCTGGCGACGTTTGTGAGGAGAGGCGGGCGCCATGTTAGCGCAGGCTCGGCAGCTGCCGCCGCCGCGGCAACGTACCAGGAAGGAGGCGGAGACGCCGGAACAGCTCCGGCTGCCGGAGAAGCCGTTGGGGCTGGCGAGGCGGCGGGTGGCAGCCGAGGGCGGCGCTGGTGCGGTTGGTCTGAGGGGCGGCTGCTGAGGCGGCGGCGGGCGAGGCAGCCGCCCGGCCTGAGGGAGAAAGAGAGAGAGAGAGAAAAGCGCAGGATGTCGGCTTCCTCCGCGTCGTCGCTTCCCGCGAGCGCCGCTTCCTCGGAGGGGAAAGGGCTCCCCCGGGGCTGAGGCGCTCCCTCGGCGCCTTTCCCGTCCAGGCCTCCTCCTCCTTCGCCCGGCCTGAGGCCTCGCCGCAAAGGGGTGGAGGAGGAGGAGGAGGAAAAGGAGGCCTCCTTTCCTGCCCCGCTGCCGCTGCCCAGGCCGGCCTGCCCGCCCGCCCGCCTCCCCCCGAGGCCGCCGGTGGAAGATGGCGTGGGTGCTGAAGATGGACGAAGTGATCGAGTCCGGCCTCGCGCACGACTTCGACGCCAGCCTCTCCGGCATCGGGCAAGAGCTGGGCGCCGGCGCTTATAGCATGAGGTGGGTCGGCCCCTCGGCAAGCGGGGTGGAAGAAGCGGGGAGGGAGCGGAGCTGGGCCGCGCCAGGGCGGGCAAGTGGGTGGCCCTCCCTTCGGTGGAGCAGCGGCGCGGCGCCTCCTCTGTATCTCTCTTAGTTTTTTTAAATGCTTTTCAGGTTTATACATTTCACTAATTTTACAAGCTTTTTAACATTTCAAAACTCGACTTCCTTCCCCCTCTTTCTGCGGTTCCTTAAATTTATTTTTGGCATATTCCAAATTAACTTAATTGGCTCATTTGGTCATCTACTTTAAATATATGCTGTTATGAAACCGCAGGTTATTACAATAATCCTGCCAATGTTCTTATATGTTTACAGTTTATCTGCAAAATATCCAGTAAACCATTTCCATTCTTTTATAAAAAAATTATCTTGATTTCCTATTCTTCTGGTAAGTTTCGCCATTACTGCATATTCCATAAGTTCTTGTATCCATTCATCCTTTGCTGGGACTTCTGCTTCTTTCCATTCTTGCCGTTGTAGTAGCGTACATGAATAAGATTCTGTACAGTTTAGGTTGTTCTTTCCCTACAATTCCCAAAAGAAAGGCATCTGGGTTTTTTTTTTACAAGCGTTATTTTAAACATCCTTTTCCATTCATTATACTGTATATCATTTCCCACTAAGCATTAACCTTACTATAAGGGAGCTGTCCTCTGGGGCTTGGGAGTCCCGCTCTCACGGAAAGAGCTGCGCCTACTGCTCTATGGTAACTTCAGGTGCACGTGTATATGCCTTCTTCCTCCAGGCGGCCTTGACTCTGATACCTTGCCTGTTGTTCGATCAGGAGGGAGGGAGGAAGGGATCACAGCCTTTGCCAAGATATCCGATGGGAGGGTGTTCCACAGGGTGGGTGCCACTACCGAGAAGGCCGTCTGCCTTGCTCGGTAGTGGCACCCACCCTGTGGGACACCCTCCCATCAGATGTCAAGGAAATAAACAACTATCTGACTTTTAGAAGACACCTGAAGGCAATCTTGTATCGGGAAATTTTTAATGTCTAATGTTTTACAATATTTATGTGTTGTAAGCTGCCCAGAGTGGCTGGGGAAACCATTACATTACATTGTGCCTTGGTTTTCAAACATTTGAGAAGTCAAATGGACTTCTGGAATGGATTAAGTTTGGTGCTTTTGTTTTTGCTATTTTGCGTTTTTGTTTTGCGGATTTTCGGTTAATTTGTTTTTGCGGAACCCAGTTCAGCTACTGATTGATTAGTTGTGTGACTGCGGAAATGGATAAAGCCCCCCCCCCCATTCCAAACAATGACTGTCATCAGTGCAGGTAAGAAAAAATTAATTTTAATTTTTATCATCTACAATAATGTCTTATTTACTTTATAGTATAGTACATTATTGCTTTCATTTTATGGATTAATGAGCTCATTAGATAGCAAAATTCATGTTAAATTGCTGTTTTAGGGGTTGTTTTTCAAAGTCTGGAACGGATCAATCCATTTTGCATTACTTTCTATGGGAAAGCATGCCTTGGTTTTGGAACGCTTTGATTTTGGAACAGACTTCCAGAATGTATTAAGTTTGAGAACCAAGGTACCAGTGTAGTAATAATTTAGACCCCGCCCATCTGGCCACACTGGGCAGCTTACAGCACATAAAAATAAGATAACAATAGTTCAGGTAGACTGGGTGCTGTTGGTAAAAGAAATCTCCATTCTACACTTTTTCCCCCAGAGGCTGCTGTTCACATTTGCATTTTGCTTTAAAGCCCTGATGATGCTGCAGCAAGTACAAATTTCAAAAGTGCTTAGTTTTTCCTCTTTCTTTTTAAACGGACAGTGTGTTGTATCTAAAATGTCCTGTATCTTTAGTATAGGTGAGATATGCCTTCCATTTTATTCTTCAGGTGTGGCATTATTCCAAGTTGTGTTGTTCGCTTTTAAATTGCATGTTAGGCTGTGCTCTAATTGTCTGTTTGTTTTTTACTGTGAATTGAAGAAAGGGCTCTGAACTAAGTCCTGCAAAAACTTAAACAATAAATTCCAATAAAGCCAATGTGGTGTATTGGTTGGTTTAAGATTAAGTCAAGGGAGACCAGGGTTCAAATCCCCATTTGTTCATGGAGCTCGCCGAGTGACCTTGGGCCAGTCACTGTGTCTCAGCCTAACTTTTCAGGGTTGTAAAACTAAAAAGAGGATGAGAGAACCATATATACCACCCTTGAGCTCCTTAGAGAAAAGGTGAAATATGAAAATATGAAGAGGAAGAAGAAGAAGAAGAGACTCCCACCACAATAATAGTCAAATAAGCCAACATTACTAACAGACATTTTAAATTCCAATTTGAAACTAATAACACTAGAATATTTGGCTACTTATGGGACGGGTGAGTGGGTTCATTCCACACCAGGGCAGAGGGGAGAAGAGAATCAGACGCTGAACCTTGTTTCCCTTAGCTGGGTGTACTGTATGTGTTTGACAACTGAATTGTTTTACTGGTGGTGGTGGTGGTTGATGTGGTGTAAAGTTCACTTTTCAAGCAATATGCTTACTAAAGCCATTAACAGCAGCAATTCTATATAAACATCCATATCAAGCAATCCACAGCATCTAGGTATAAAATGCAAAATGCAGAGGAGGAAAAAACACTGTCTGTTTTTAACAGGTTATTTAAACTACTAAGGGTTTCTGCAGATCTTAGCTGGATGGAAAGGGACTTGCATAGTTGTGGCGGGGTTGGGGGGACTATTGAGAATGCCTTCTCAAGTTTCTGCATACCAGATTCCAAGCGAATGCAGCACTCTCAAGAGAATCCCCACCAGTTCTCAGTGTCTGGGGCAGGTGTATATGGGAGAAATCCTTCCATTAGATACCTAAATTCTGAGACAGGCTTTGCTTTGCTTGTCAACACAAGTAAAGTGAACTTAACATAATAGTTTCTAGGCAGTCAGTGCAACTCCTTCAAAACTGGTGTAATGCATTCCTAAGTAGGCTACTCCATTTAACTGCCTAGCCATTAGCTCCAGCTTCTCAACCTACCTTAAGGGTAGCTCTACCTAGAAGTGTGGTACAATAATCCATTCTTGAGAATACCATGGTGTGGATCACTGTGGCCTGGCTATCCCTGTCCAGGAATGGCCATGGCTGGCATACCAGCTGAAGCTGGTAAAAAGTACTTTTTGCCACTTGCACCTCCACCAATAGTGATGGCTCTAGGTGCATCCCAAGCTATGTACCTCCTTCAGAGACAGTGTAATCTCATGCAGAACAAGGAAGCCTATTCAGTTCCTGGACATGGGAATTACCTATACACAGCAGCTTATGAGGATCCAGCCAACAATGGTATCCAAACACTGGTTTGTTATACTTGCTCAGATTAGTCTTCACATTTTTAATCTATTTGCCACTGCAGTTCCCACCACCACCACCATCCATGATCTCTGGAGTGCACAAATTTGGAGCGGCTTTGGGAGCCAGCCCAAAGTTGTGGTTGCCACCAATCTCTGCCAATTCAGGAAGGACTGTGATATTATTGGTTTTGAAGCTGACTTTCGGAGAGACTGGGCAGCAGCAAGTTCTGATATTTCTGAAGCACAGTACAGTCAGGGATTTGTCTTGCCTTCACTTCGGGCCATCTAAACAAAACAGTCACTGTTGAGGGGCAGTCAAGGACCTCATGACATACATATATAAAAAGGTAAAGGTACCCCTGACTATTAGGTCCAGTCGTGGATGACTCTCGCTCTATAGGCCGAGGTAGCCGGTGTACAGCTTCCGGGTCATGTGGCTAGCATGATTAAGTCGCTTCTGGCGAACCAGAGCAACGCACAGAAATGCCTTTTACCTTCCTGCTGGAGCAGTACCTATTTATCCGGAACTGTTAGCATAAATGTCACTGGAATTTCATTCAAGTGTAATAATCTCTTTCCTCATCTGTAGTTATCAATGTTTCCAGTATGCCAAGGCCTGATCTGTATAACTTGACCTTTATAACTATGTAACTTGATTAAACTAGTACGTAAGCCACACACTTCTAGGAATTTGGCCTTTTCTGATGAAGTAATCAAATAGTAGATTAAGTTATTTATTCTTTATGTGAAGAATGGCTGTTGCACTTCCCTCCCTCCCTTCCAGTCCATTTTTGCTTCTGTGTTATGTCATTTTATATTGCAAGCCTGAGTGCAGATACCCTTTTTCTCTGGAGCCATTTTGGCTAACAGGTGGGATAAAAATTAAATAAATTCTAAGAGAATCTGTGTAAACTATAGCTATGGATTGCTTTTTTATTTTGACAAGAATACATGGCTATATGCCCTGCTTCCACATTTCTTTAGCCCTTTCTTTTTCTTTTGAGGTACTAGTTATGTCACAATCTCTTTTGTTAGTTTGAGGTTATCATCAGGTATCTAAAGTAAGAACCTTGTTGCGTGATTTTTTTTTCCTTTTTCTGGCAATGATGCAAGTGGAATGATTCCCCCCCCCCCTTAAACAGGGTTGGGGTTTTTTAGAGCAAGCTGATTGAACCTTTGTGGTGAGTTTTGGGAGTCATCAGATATTGTTCAGTAGTTGAAATGTCTGTCTAGGACGAAGTAGTTCATATATTGCAGAGAAATCCTAGTGACTAAATTGGTCCCCTAGTGTTAGTACTTCAGAATAACCTTCCAGAACATTCAGATAACCACAGATGGTAAGTAGCAAGAAGGTGACTTCTTAGGTAACTCAGCTCTGTTTTCAGTTAAGATTTCGTCAAGAGTAGCCAGTACCTTGGGTTTCACTTGCATCTGTGGCTCACTAGCTGATAGATCAGTTAACACTTGTTGGCTTGCACTCTTTATAGACTGAAGTTTTCTCTATACTAGATAAATGGTGTTCGCTTTTTGTTCACATGATTTAAGGCAGGCTTTTGTAAACTGGATTGGTGCATAGTGTAGTTCCCAACTACCTGATATGAGCTAAAACTGCTGTTTCAGTAAGATTTCAATATTGAATTGATAAAAAAAATTAAAAATGAGAGTCGCTCTTTCTCTTGTTTCTAATGCTATCTGAAGTTGAAAAATGTGATTGTAGTGCAGCTTCTGGCGTTGACATATCATTTGTAAATCCTGCTTGGAAGTGTTGTTTATATGCTTGTTTATCCAGAATTCAGTTGAAATACTTCTGCTTGTTTTGAAAATGATGCCATGTGTTAATGTGAAGTAACTGAGTACATGATGAACGGTAGTTAGCAGACTGGCCCACATAGTAAAAATTTGTAGGGCTGATGAGTAAATCCCTGGAGATTTTGAGGCAGATGGTATCTCACCATGTTGTCTGGGACTTGTAAACTATTAGCGTAATGGAATCTTTAGTTTTAAATAAACAATGTCATCATTTTTTCCCCCTTCTGTTTCTTTAGTATCAACTTGATGTAACTACAACAGTGTTTCTGAAGAATGGGCAAGATTCACTACATAAAGTAAAACAAAGTCCCAAATATGTAACTTTTTTGTTTGTTGAGAAGCTAGCATGAAATAGCACCTGAAATATCTGTTATGCTAAATGATAAGGTGTTAACCTCTGCTATAAGTGGTTACATAATCATGGTGTCTACTTGTAATTTACAACTGTTTACATATTTTTCTTCATTCTAGAGTTAGGTTGCCATTGTGGGATGCTGTATAACAAACATAGCATGGCTCACTCTTGGTATCAAGGAAAAGGCTGCATTTTATGGATCTCTCTCCCAGGAAATTCAGCATGCTGCCTCTTCCATTTAGATGGCCTTTGGAGATCCTTTTATTCCATGGTTTATATTCCACTTTATATGGTTTTAAAACTTATTCTTGCTGGCTCTTTGGTTTTTGCTGATGTGTTTTATAATCTATTGGATACTCTAGATACTGTGTTTTAATTGTTTTGTTATTTCATAATTATTTTGGTTACATGAGCTGCCTTACAGGAAGCAATTTTAAAGGTAGGGTAAAAATACTTACATTCAAATAAATGAATAATATTGCTGGGGTTTCAGCATACATTCAGAAGGAGAATTGTATTCAAGGATACTGTTTTCCTGGAAACAGGACTGCCGCTTCCAGCTGGTATACCACTGGCCTTCCCACTGAGTAATTTCCTTGTTGCTAACAAAGAGAAGTAAGGCTTCTGAGATCTAACACTGTCACCTGTTCTCATTTCAGTGATGTTCTGGCACTGCCCATTTTCAAGCAAGAAGACTCCAGCCTTCCACCTGACAGTGACACAAAACACCCACCATTTCAGTATGTTATGTGTGCTGCAACATCTCCAGCTGTCAAACTACATGATGAAACCCTTACTTACTTAAACCAAGGTTAGCATTGTTCCTCTGAGTAGACTTCTGCTGCTCTTGTATATGGCTACATTTTAATAAATTTTAAATGTCTGAAATAATAATCGTTGTTCAAAATACTTGCTCATTGTAAATATCTGTGCTTGTTTTGGTATCCTGGTATGTATAGAGACAACAAGGAAAGGCATTAGATTTTATAGTTATGAAACTGGAACACAAACATTTCCATTAACAGGAAATGTGTGGTTTTTTTCTAGATGCTGGCTAATCCCAACATCAGATTGAATGGTGTTATATGATAGTGTTCTTTGTTTCTCTTTAGGAAAAAACCAGACTTGAAGTTCTATTGAGAAATAACAGTTGCAGTCAAGGTTAATAGTATTGCTAAATAAAATAAAGTTTAGACTACGAAGATAGCTTGTGGGGTATGAAATAAGTTTTTGAGGGCTCTTAGACCTCTAACATTATTTATGCATTGTTTTCGATTCAAAACCTTCTGGCACTTAGTATATTCTCCTAAACGTTCCTTGGAATGCTTGGTGTAATTTTGTCATCTTGGCAATGTAGTGTTTTAGGAAGTGCATTAAGTTAAGGAAAAAGTGTTCCTATGAGATTACCTATGATCCCCAATACATCGGCACATTTAAGAAAATGCATTTCCTCAACTTAGTTCATGGGGCGGGGATTGTGGTACATTGCTCTTTAAGCTGCATTTATAGCTGCTTTTAAATTTCTGTATTGGGATAAAATTTATTCCATATGTTCATTTTTTAATATTGGAAAAAACCCTGTTCTTTTGATACTTTGATGCAGTATTTTAATAAATTAGAATCAGTGTTCATTGTCCTAAATTTAATACTAGATTGAGGAAAGCGTCAGATTGTCACATAACTATTCATAGACGACAATTTGTGTTATATGAATGGGAAACACAAAAAGGAGAATAATTTCGACATTTATTTACTTGTACTAGGATGGTTTCAGTCTGGTGACTACAAGGCTTGATTTCTGTTACTGCTTCTCCATCCCTTGTAGTGTGTTTTAAATCACTGGTTGCTTACAGTTATGTCCATCCTGATTTGTGCATTGGCTTTCTATAAGAGTGTAGGCTGTATTTAAGATGGCACTGTGGTTTTCAAGGCTCTGTTTGATATAGGCACAGACATTCCAGATACGTTGTAAGAACATCATTTAGAAATACCATGTGCTGCCATTTTAAATCAGTAGATAAAAGGTGCAATTTTTTGTCAGCAGAATCTTTAGCTTATAGTAGCTGTCTTCCAGTTTACTTTCCCTTCTTCTTCACTTTTGCAAAAGGGCCTAAATAATTTTCTTTCCCTCATGCTAGAGGAGCTTTACAATTGTGTATTTTCCCTTTCATATTCCACTTTCCTCTTTTTAACAGAACAGTTTAAAATTGTTTTGATATAATATATTGTACTTCAGTGTCTTTGAAAGTATTGCAGTAAAGTGGCATTTGGCCAAGGGCACTACATAAGTAAAATTATTATTTTTTTCCCTTTGAAAGGTCAGTCCTACGAAATCCGGCTGTTAGATAATAGAAAAATGGGAGATATGCCAGAGATCAATGGGAAAATGGTGAAGGTATGTTGTTGGCTCAATCCTGATTCCTGTCTCTTGTGATTCTATGTAGCTATTGGAGCTACTTCCAATGACAACAACATTTCCCTGTTTTGGCTCTTAAAACTGCAGCAAAGAGAGAATGCATCACCCACTTTCTAATGGCAGAGGTTTCAGTATAGGTCCGGACATCCCCAAAACTTGTACATGGCTAGACTACTGGGATATTCCAAAGAATTCATGTCAGTGGTGTAGGATGTCATTTTGCATTTCCAGCATTTCTTCCTGGTAACTTTTTAGACCATCCAGGGCTGAGGTCTGAACTCCGTACTTCAGCTCTAAATCCTCCTACCCCAATTCAAGTATATGTAGTTCACTCTAATGTATAAAGGCAGGAACAGTTGAATGTGAGGAATCTATAAGAATATGTAACCATTATTTAATTAGCTTTTAGTTTCACTTTTCAGTTGTAGGAAGGAAAAAATTACCTTGTGTAAAGTCTCACTATTCAGAATACTCAGCAGAATTTAATACATGTGGCTTTGGATTAAAAAAAAGGTTATTATACCTGCCTAAAAGGTGGCTCAGTACTAGTGATGCTATCATAGCTTTCTGTATTTGAGATCAGGTATGAGCTTTTGGAACTTTTACAACACTTTAAAATTTGGATTGTTTCCCCTTTCTGCTTATTCTGAGCTAGTCTTGACATGGGGTGAGGACACCCATCACTATTCAGTACCCAAATAGCCTTCACTCTTTACTTGTGAACTATTCTCGCTGAAAATCCCTCTTAGACAGACGAAAACTAATATAGAGACTGAATTATGAATTTCTAAACATCTAGGGCTTCTTTTAGTCACAACAGCTGTGAATGTTTATCACCTTAAGAAAAACATACCCTAAGCTGCCTGGCAAGTGGGTGAGGAAACTCCTGGCTCTCATGATTCCCAGTCCTCCAATCTGCTGGCGTTACCTGAGACTTCTAAATCAGTGTTAGGGCTGCAGTCGACAAAATAATTTAGAGTGGATGTCATAGGGTACATGAGCCCATTTTAGTTGAGTTATACAAGTATATTTCCAGCCTGGTTGTTTACCTCCCTTCTTGTTTTCTGAAAGGAAGAATAATATTGCGAAGCAGAGAATGAGGTGTATGTTTTTTACTTAAACTGGGTGCATATTCTTACTCTGGAAGAAATGTCCTTGATGATTATTATATCTTAAAGCACAAGTACTGAGGAACTTGCTGATGGATTTATTGAGCCTGTAACTGATAAGTGACATTTTCCTTACTTTGAATACTAGTGCTACTTAACTGGTGTGATATTTACAAAATTCTAAACTGAGTAGTCCAGTCATATTTGGAGGATACCACATGGCTAATCTGGATTAAATTTTCATTGTATCTAGCTGAATCCAGGTTACAGCTTCTAGTGAATATATTTTTTAACAGGTTCTGTTTTCTAAAACCTGTACAGACTCACTTGCTCTCACATCAGTATCTCCCCCCTCTTCTTTTTTGTGTGTGCCCCGCTCCAGTTTTATATTGCTAACACATAGGTTTGTCCAGTCCCATCAGCCTGTATAGTTTTTCTTTGAAATCAAGGTAGCTCAGTTGGTAGAGCATGAGACGCTTAATCTAAAGGTCATGGGTTTGAGCTCCACAATGGGTGAAATATTCCTGGATTGCAAGGAATTAGACTAGCTGATCTTCATGGTCCCTTCCAACTCTATGATTCTGTGATACCCCTTTCTCTGGTGCTCTGTGAGTTGCAAATAATTCAGGAACTTTTATCACCCTGATAGAGGAGAGAGTGCACATAACCAGGTAGAGAATCATCACAATGTTCAAAGTTAGTTTAAAACTAAGGTATTGTCACTCTGCAGGCTATCTGTGAGAAGCTCATACCTATGTATACTTCAGCATTCCTCCAAAAGGAAGCATGGCTCTTGTCTGTATGATTTCATTGCAGTAGGAAAATTTGGGTGGGCATAGCATTGGCACATTTTTACACTGCGAACTAGATATCCGTCATCTTTTATTTTAGAGTATTATAAGAGTTGTGTTCCATGACAGAAGACTGCAGTATACTGAGCACCAGCAACTTGAAGGCTGGAAGTGGAATCGCCCTGGAGACAGATTACTTGATTTAGGTAGGTGTGTTAATTAACATAGCCTCTTCATATGAAGAGATGAATTAACAAGAGAAGTGTTAACTCTTCTGACGTATATATATAGTAGAATTTGAATTGTACATGGTTTAAATAATGCATTATTACGTAGATTACCACAAAGGGCGCGGTACATGAATTGTACATGGTTTAAATAATTGTACATGGTTATTTAAATAATTTAAATATTTTCTTCTGACGTATATATAGTAGAATTTGAATTGTACATGGTTTAAATAATGCATTATTACGTAGATTACCACAAAGGACGCGGGTGGCGCTGTGGGTAAAACCAGTGCCTAGGACTTGCCGATCGTATGGTCGGCGGTTCGAATCCCCGCGGCGGGGTGAGCTCCCGTCTTCGGTCCCAGCTCCTGCCCACCTAGCAGTGTGAAAGCACCCTTAAAGTGCAAGTAGATAAATAGGTACCGCTTTATAGCGGGAAGGTAAACGGCGTTCCGTGTGCTGCTCTGGTGCAGGCTCGCCAGAGCAGTGATGTCACACTGGCCACGTGACCCGGAAGTGTCTGCGGACGGCGCCGGCTCCCGGCCTCTAGAGTGAGATGAGCGCACAACCCTAGAGTCTGTCAAGACTGGCCTTTACCTTTACCACAAAGGGCATTGGAAATTCTCTCATTCATTTTGAGATACCCTGTTAGTAACAATTAATAGATGGTGTGATCAAAGCACAAAGATGGTATTTTTAAAAAAAGAAAGACTTGAAACTTTAAACAAAATTTCTGCATGTTCATTATTGCTACTCTCAATCTGTCCTAAGAGAACATTATTTAAGATGAAAATGTGCAAATGAAAACTTCACTGCATTGTTTCCCCCCCCAAAACTGTGTTTATTTTATAAAGATATTCCTATGTCAGTTGGAGTAATCGATATAAAGACAAATCCAAGCCAGCTTAATGCAGTTGAATTTCTGTGGGATCCTGGAAAACGAACATCTGCCTTTATTCAGGTTTGAAGATACGTTTTCTTAAGAAATGATAGTCTTTAATGGTGGGAAATAAATGTTGGTGATCTTTAATGATTTAAAAGAGCTGAAACACAGTCCTCGCTCTTCTTAGTTGTAACATCACTCTTGTGTACTGTATGCAAGAAGTTAAATAATTGTCAAAATCTTGAAAATAATTTTTTCTCAAATGAAGATTACAACTTGCTTACTCCCCCTCCCATAAAAAAGAAAACTAATACTATAGTGACAAATGAACACCATATTGTGGCTTTTTTTTTTTTTAACCCCTAGGTACATTGTATCAGCACTGAATTTACACCTCGTAAACATGGAGGTGAAAAAGGAGTTCCTTTTAGGATTCAGGTTGACACTTTTAAACAGACAGAAAATGGAGAATACACTGATCATTTGCATTCGGCCAGCTGCCAAATCAAAGTTTTTAAGGTAAGAGATGTTAATGAACAGCAGGGAGGAAATTGGCGTACAGAGGCTTGTAGTATTTATTTTTCTAAAGCTTGATTTCTGTGTGTAATTTAATTTTTAGCCAAAAGGGGCAGATAGAAAACAGAAAACAGACAGAGAAAAAATGGAGAAACGAACTGCTCATGAAAAAGAAAAATATCAACCTTCATATGACACTACAATTCTCACAGAGGTAATAATACTGAAATGTTTTTGTTTGCAGAGATAAATGGCGCATAGTACACATAACATACTTTAATCTAAGTAATGAGTTAGAGTGTCAAGGGGTGGGTCATAAGCTAAATATATCTAAAAGTAGGCTTTTCATTTGACAGATGTCTTTGACAAAGAAACAAAGACCCATAAGACTTAGGATCAAGTAGAAATATATATTTTCTTAAAACATTTAGCTTTGCTCAAACCTCATGTACATGTCTAAAAGCCCTTCAGTGCTGAAAGAAAAGTGTCTCAGGATTTGTTTTGTTCTTGTCTGGTTTGAGCCCAGAGCTGTATTTTAGAAGTTATTGAATTTATGGGCAGAGCCTCACTGGGTTCTTGCATTTCTTTTTATTTAAACACCAGTGAGTTTCCTATAGCTTTCTAACGATTGCAGAAGTTTTTAAAAGGCTTTTAAATTTTCCTCACTGTATAATGAAAAGAAATTGATCCACATCTTTGGTGTTTGTCCAGATGAGGCTTGAGCCTATAATTGAAGATGCAGTTGAACATGAGCAGAAAAAGTCCAGCAAGCGGACTTTGCCAGCAGACTACGGTGATTCTCTGGCAAAGCGAGGCAGTGTAAGGGACTTCTGCTTACTTTTCATTGTGCAAGTTATCTTGTGCAGTGTTAGATATAGGACCAATTTCCATCACCCAAGATTAAAAAACAAGGATTTTGTCTGCCTTGGCTTAATTTTGTGCACTTTCGTTTACCCACAAATTACTTCATGCTTGTATCTTAGTGAGAAATACTTCCTAAATCTAACACATAAAAATGTCAGCAGGCCTGTGACTCTTAATAAAAGCAAGAGCTTCAGTTTACACCTGAAATGGCTTTATTGAATAGCTATGTTCTTAACAACTGTTTTCTCTCCTGTAATTAATGGAATGAGAAGTAGCAATATCATTCAGTTGAGATGTATTTTTCTATATTTTCACATGCAAGTTTCCACAAACTATTTTTTTTTTCATGGCTCTGTGTTGTCTAACTATTTGCAGTAATAATACTTATAATACTTTGCTTTCCTTATTAATGGCTTTCCATTTGTTAATACTATTGTTAAATTCCTAAATGAGCTTGGCCTAATCATGTATTTGCTCAATATGCAAATATTTATATGATACACTTCTTAAAAGTACAAACTGACAGTTGAATAATGCTATGCAGGCCTTTATTCTTCCCTTTGTACACACAACAAAATAGGCCTTCTCCATTTGTTAGCATGAAAGCAGCTGCCAGTGAAAGAGCCAGTTCAAGCATATCCAGTTGTTAAAATGTCCTTGGCTTGACTGACAATACATTTGAATGGTAACATTCTCACTCCTGTGAACTGGCACTTTGAATTTCAGCAGGGGCCCTAATTTGACCCACTGTCTCTTTTCTCCAAATCACATGTACATTCCCTATATCGCTATCTTGATTATCTACTGTAAAAAATAAGAATTATCTACCACTCACTCATATAAAATATCAACCCAACAATGTATAAGGTAAAGGTACCCCTGCCCGTACGGGCCAGTCGTGTCCGACTCTAGGGTTGTGCGCCCATCTCACTTAAGAGGCCGGGGGCCAGCGCTGTCCGGAGACACTTCTGGGTCACGTGGCCAGCGTGACAAAGCTGCTCTGGCGAGCCGGCACCAGCACAGCACACAGAAACACCATTTACCTTCCCGCTATAAAGCGGTACCTATTTATCTACTTGCACTTAAGGGTGCTTTCGAACTGCTAGGTGGGCAGGAGCTGGGACCGAAAGACGGGAGCTCACCCCGCCGCGGGGATTCGAACCTCCGACCATGCGAGCGGCAAGCCCTAGGCGCTGAGGTTTTACCCACAGCGCCACCCGCGTCCCATATCAATGTATACAATACAATAAAATGTAAGATGCAGAAAATCAATACAAAATGCCAGCTCATTCTGAAAAAATAAAAAGTAAACAACTGAATAGACCTGTCTGGCATAAAAAATAATAATAATTCATGAGACATTTGAAAGTAAGCCATGCCAAATCTCTACTGGAAGAGTATTCCAGAGTGTGGTACCAGAAACGTAAGTGCCTGGCTTCTAGTTGAGGCCAGTCGGACTTCTGAAACATAGGGGATATGTGATATTGAGTGTGGAGCAGGTAAAGTTGCGGCAGCAACTGAATGGTTGGGAGCTTACAGGGTGCTCTCAGTTGTTCCTTTGCAGGCAGGCCTTGCTGATCAGCTCTGTCAGCAGGCAAATGACAGGTGGCCTTCAGGGAGGTGGGGATTCAGCCAACCGGGCTGAATAACTTCTCTATCACTAATGTAGCATGGCCAACGCTTTCTGTCCCTAAGGTGTCAGTGGTGGAAAGCTCTTGTTGGCTTATAGGATGGCAATCATCACTGAGTGCTATCTTGTGGTAACAAAAAAACCCCCTAAACCTTCCTTTTAAAAAGCCACTAAATGTTTTTTGTGCCATTCCTGCTCCTTCCACTATATGACAACCTGTGAAGTAGATTGGAATGAGAAATAGCAGCTAGCCCAAGATCATCCAGTGAGCTTCATGGCTGCTGGTGGTCTGAACCTGGGTCTTGCTGCTCTACACTGAATTTTCCCTAGAAGTTTTCTACCCCCACTAGGCTCGTCAAGGTTTCACATGATTCTACCGTGTCCTCTTTTTCTCATAGCTTTTGCATTAATGCTTTCAATAAGGGTTTCAGCAGTGTCCTTTCAGATATAGTGAGAATTGGAAATCTGTTCTGTCCAGTCGTGACAATAGCAGAAGACTAAAGAGTTCTTCTGAAAGAGCTGTTCAAACTTGTGCTGCAATCATTTATACAAACAGTTGGCTCCTTTGGTTGGAAACAGAAGAATGCATATCTGAGGGAAAGTAATACAAAATAGAGAGAACATTTACAAATAAATCACTGCTAAGTTCTTGAGTAGAGGTCCATGTAGTAAATAGTGGTCAACATCTAAAACTTTCGCTTAGAATCAAATGTGTACTTTAAGTGTAATTTCAGAAGGCATAAAGGCTACTGATACTTTTATCTTAAATTTACCATAAATGTGCAGCCTAAAAAGGTAAGGGGGGTAGTATAAAAAGTAAAGGGATAGAGATAGACAGTCAAAGCTTGTATTATCTTTTCATTTTTAACTGACGGAGGAAGCTTTCTCTTTATAATTATTGGTATACAATTCTACTGGGTCATGGGAAGGATTGGTTGTGGTGGACAAAGCAACAGGCTTACACAGGAGCAGTAGGATGGCAGACCTCCACCCACAGAGAGAAAGAGAGAGAGCTCTGCAAAATCTTAGTCTCTGGTATTACCATCCCAGGGACTATAGGATAGCACCCTTAAAATTCAGTACCCTTAAAATGCAGTAATTATTCAGCTAGAATGCATTTGCTTTAATCCAGTGTTAATTTCTGCTTAACTGTCATAATCTTGAGAAAATTATTGATCTAAAATGTCCCATTTAATCATAGGCAGCATGGATTACAATCTCAGACGGAATATCATTCAGTTAGTATATTGAAAGCAATCATAATGTAATATAAAATACATACTGTATCAAAACAAATGCTGAACCTTCACATTTCAGGCACCCAGAAACTTTGTGGCACCTTCTTATACTTATTTCAGTTGTTGATGTTGTTTTAAACTATTACATTTAAAGAGAATATATCTTTTTTAAAAAATTCTTAGAATTCACATCTGGAAGTAAAAACATGCAAGCATGCATATTAGGGTGTAGCTTCAGTGTGGGGTGCACATCTTTGAAATGCATATTTGCTTTGTCAGAAATCGGAACATGATTTATTGTTGCCCTAGAATTGGGGCTTAATCCCCATCGTGCACCAAAGGCGTGAAAAACAGCCAGCTATACATGCCAGCTTCCCCCTCTGCTTTCTGTGCTTCAATTGAGATGAAGTTCTTTCCCTGCCTGTAAAGAGAGAGCATGCATTAATAATATTTTACTTAGAAGTAATGATATATAATAGTAAATAATAAAACACAGAACTCTGTGTTTCTCAGGCTTGTTGAAACTATTTTCTTGTTGAATAAAGAAAAAAAGCCTGTTGAGAATGGTTCTGCTCTCTTTTCCCTAGAGGGTATGTGTGAGAGAGGGAGAAGGGTTATGAAATTGGCATTCATAGCCTTCTTCCGAATGTGCATGGTTTCATCCTGATAAGAAAATGCAGGTGGTATTCCTCTTGAGTACTGGATACTGGGCACAAACTGGATCACTATCACGTTCCTACTCTGTCAGTGTCCAAAGACATTTGACAGATTGCTTTTGAAAGTAGGATGGTGGACCTTGGACTGATACTGCAAAGGTATGCATGTTTCTTTTCCCACCCACCCTAATCATGCCAAGCTAGCATATGATCCACCAATCCCTTGCAAATGAGGACCCTGGTAAGTTGTGGCTTCCAGTTACAGGGAAGAATCTAAACTTGTTCAGCTGAACATGCTTAGAATCCTCCTCCAGACATTCAATGGTTCAAAGCAATGCTTCAGAATTAGATAAACTAGGTCAGACCTTTAAAAAAAAACAACTGATCAAGTAATGCATTCTGGATATAGGAGCTGGCATGCAGTGCCCTTGGTAGGAGTGCATGTTTCCTTAAAGTATGTGGGAAAAGTTTCTCCCCGTGTTGTGTTGCTGTTTCCCCTCTCTTTCTGTGAGGCAGAATGCAGCTTGCTAAAACTGGTTGTAGAATGTGAATGAGAAGTTCAAAAGTCCCCCTCCCTTCTTTTTTGTTTGCAGGAGATCTAAAGTTCCTTGCCATATGAGTGAGGTTCTCCCCTTTCTTGCTTTTGGGTGCTTAACACTGTGCACATTTGAGATGCCATAAAGTTTTGTGGACCTGCATCTAAATTTTTAACTTAGGTTTGTTTCAGTGCTATTAAATTACCATGGCTTCCCTTAGGAAACCATTGGAATGAGTTTTTGGTGAGAGATTTGTGGTTCCTTGTAGGCTTCTGTGTTCCCATGGTTCTTTTGGAGGAAACCATGCTAGTAAAGCTAATGTACATGAGCAGTTTCTGGATATTTCCTACAGAGTCATCCAGCTATACTGGAGCAACTTGAGCAGTGGTAATGCGTGGACTTACCTTTAAAATTTCCTGTTTTTGTTAGTCACTCACTGAAAACAATCAGTTTATGGAATAGTTTAGAAATGCAGGTTTGAACAGATTCTGTTTGTGGGGGGGGAGTCATTACTAAATTTATTATCACAATGCACGTATAATCTTTTAGTGACTTAGCTTGAGTTGTATGCATGCATAGTAAATATATAATTATATGATAAAATAAGTGAGGACTGGTAGAGAACTTTTGAGAAAGTAAGAGTTATGCTCTTGCAAAGTGAAGCCCAGCTTTAATTATAAAACTGCTGTTTTAATGTTTCTCTTTTCTCTAGTGTTCACCGTGGCCTGATACATCTACTGCATTTGTGAACAGTAGCCCTACCCCAACTCCGACGTTTGCCTCTACTCCACATAGTACTACTTACAGTGTCCCAGACAGGTATGCTTCTCTTCTAGCATGACGTATCTTAAATCAAGATTAAGACTGAAGAAAACGATGCTGTGGAACTTGTATGTGATTTCCTTGCGTTTAATTATCTCTCTCGGGATAATCAGATTACAAGAAATTATAATTCAAAGCCCAAAGTTTTACAGAAAAATGGAAGAGACAAGTTAACCCTTGTCAATATTCCTAGCTTAGTAGAGCAACAGAGGATATTGTGTTATCTCCTGCTCTTAGTGGTACGTCCTCCTTTTTTCATACCAGCCATTGAAAAGTCTGCCGCTATTTTATATTGTTTTGATTAAGGTGTTTCATGTATTGTACTTTTAGTGTATATTGCTTTTGTTTTAATATAAATATTGTTTGCCACTTTGGAGGCCTTTGGACTAAAAAGTGGTATATAAGCAAACCATATCATTCAGTCTCCACTGTAGACTATTGGGGCTGGGGGGCAACTTGTACTTTGTCACAGGCAGTAAAATGTCCTTTACCAACCCTGTTCTAAGTACAGCATAAGGAGAAACAGCGCAGGTCTGTATTACAACAATATTTTGTGGTCTTCAGTCTGGAAGTTGAATCCTATTGCAAGTGTGTGGCAGGGCTATGTTGTATTGTCTAGAGGTTAGTGTAAAATTCTGCCAATAAGACATCACAAATGTACCTGTTATAAAATTGCTGGCCATTCTCTTCTAGCAGTTCAGTGCAGGAGATGCTGACAGATAAATGCACTTTAAAACAGCACATGCACTGGAGATGGTTCCTAGTTGGAATTCTAGCACTGAACTCCCAGCCTGCTTTGTTAAATTTATGAAGTTCCATCCCAGCCTGAGTTTGCAGTGGGAAGTTTGCTGGCGGGAAAATACCTGAGAGGAGTGCCTCTGTATCACAGCCTTAGAGCTTCAAAAAATAAAAGTAAAATAATCACGTAATCTTCCTTTCCGCATCCTTCCCTGTCTAGCAATTCATCATCTCCAAATCACCAAGGAGATGGAATTCCTCAAGTATCGGGAGAGGTGAGTTTCTAATGCTACCAGGAATCCCACATACCATGTAGATAGAATGCATTGCTCTTTGGCATTCTGAGGAGCTGTGGGGTTGATGAAATGGGCTGGACAAAGACCGGAGCACGAGTGGTGGAAATCTCACTCCAAAACTGAGATAGAAAGCTGATACATTGTGTCTATCACATGGCCTTGAAGGCAGGACATTACAGTTGACTGCATGCATCGCATCCGCAAGGAGTCAGCTCCAGAGTTCCATGTTGTATGGGACTTGTTACTCCAGATTTGGGGGGCAGACCCCTGGCGCACACAGTGCCTAGCTGCAAGTGGTTTGCAAGGCAACTGAAGGACAAGGTTGCTCCAATTTGGAATGATTTAGATGCTGCTGTTAAGCAAATCCAGCCCAGTTGTCCAATGCTTTGTCTGGTCCAGTGTTATGGGATCAGCTCCAGTCAGTGCAGCCTGATGTGGACAAGATCCTTAAAGTGATGCATCTGGCCATGCGCAGCCTTCGATCACTGCTCTTCCTGGCCAGAGTAGAATAGCCAGGTGCGTCCAGGATGTTACGAAAGCATTGTTGCCTGATTGGGTTCTGCCATCTGCCCTTTAAAAGGCAATGGTGTGGCTGATCCTTAAAAAATTCAACCCTGGACGCAATGGTGTGTAATAATTAAAAGCCAATTGCCAGTCATCCTCTCAGGAAGGTTTTTGGAGAGAGTGGTGGCAAAAAAACTGCAAGTGTTCCTGGATTTTGTTTTATTAGTTATTATAATGAGTATTCATATTGCTTTAAATGGTGTTTTATTGTTTTACAGCACCCAGATACTTTATGATATAGTGGTACATAAACACTTTTAGAAAGAAAATATTGTACTTTAAAAACCTAAGAGTGCATATTACCATATAAAATGTAGATTTTAGTAATTTTTTTGTCTTCCCCCAGCAACTTCATCCATCGGCCACAATCCAAGAAGCCCAACAATGGTTGCTTAAACATAGATTTTCCACGTACACAAGGCTGTTTTCAAATTTCTCAGGTACTTACAAGATCAACTTTTAAGTTTGCTTGTTTTTCAAAGTAGCTCTTCATCCCACGGGACTTCATGTATTTCTGATAAATAAGTCTAGTGAGCAATATAGATTTAACAGATAACTTTGCTAGTTATCGGAAATTCAAACCGATTCCTTTTTTTCCTTGTCAGTTCTTTCCAGCATTTTTTATGGTTTTTATTGACACACTTGCAGCATCCCTTCTTTACTATAATCTTAAGAACTGCCTTGCTGAATCAGGCTAAGGGTTCATCCCATTTCCAAAAGTTACTTCTGGGAAGTCCAGAAACAAGTTGTGCAATTAGCATCTTTCTCCTATTTTCCCCCAGGAGCAAAGGAATATTTCCTCTTAAGCATGAAGGTTTAACCAAGAAGTAGACAATAAGTGTCCTCCATGAAATTGTCTAACCCCCTTTTAAAACATCTTGCCACTGGGATGTTTTGGGAAGTAACCATGGTCAATATACTTTCCTCTGTCCTGTATTTGTTGTTGATCTATTTAATTGGGTGAGACTTCTCATATGAAAGTAGGAAAAATATCACATCACACTAAAGTATGTTGGGGTGGGAAACGGAACCAAAGTCCTATCCAAGCATGACTGATAGCAAAGGATGATGGGAGTTGTAGTCTAGCAGCATATGTACGGGTCACAGGTTGTCCAGCTGTGCTCTACACAGTCAATAATTTTTAGCACTTCCACCATGTCTTCCCTTAGTTATCATCTTCTAAAAATCACCAAAGGCTTCCTTTATGGGGAAGGTGCTCCAACACTTGATTATTTCTGTACAATATCTCTTTTGGGATGCGCTATATATGGTGTTCCAGATATGGCAGTTATTTACATAAAACCATGATATTGGAAGTCTTCTGAATAATCTTGTGTCATCTGCAAAGTTGGCTATCTTGCTGCTCACTCCTGATGCCATGCCCTTTATATGACCAACTTAATAGCAACAGTTGTAGCATGATACAATTTGGATTCTTTTGTACCAAAAATTATATGATTGTCTGCCTTCTCTATGGATTTGTCAATGCATGTTTCCTTAGGCTACTAGTTGAGTTGTGAGTGTCTGTCAGAATTCATCCCCACCAAATAATATGCTGGAAGTGAACTTTCTGCCTTTTTTCATGCTTAGTCATTGATCTAACATGTCTTTGGAATGCACACTCGTTGAGAGTAAATGTGAGATGCTGTGGATAGTGAAAATAGTGCAGGTTGCTGTTGCTACAGCCTTCTCTTGTTGTTCCTACCCCAGTCATTATTGTGTAGAGGCATAATTAGAACCTTAACACAGTTTCCTTTGAATATGGAGAAAGGAGAGAAAACACAGCAGCTTCAGTCTCTGCCCTAAAACAGCTGCTATCCCAAGTGGCAGCAGCAAGACAAGAGATAAACCACACAGAACCGTAACCTGAGAAACAGATGTCACAGTTGAGACCAAAGCAGAGAAGTTGGAGAAGAGAAAAACATAGTCCAGAGGGAAAACAAGAATGTTTAATACTTCCCCTCCCTTAACCATTTTAAATGTTAATTGAAAGTTTTGGGGAGCTTTTCTAAATGTTGGTTGCTACCCGAGGCGGCTAGCTGTAAGGAGTTTTGAGATTTGTTGGCAGAAAACTGTAATTGAAAATGCTCTGTGGATATGACACACTAATATTAGGGGCTGGTGGGGGGATCCTTGGTAGATTTGAATATGCATTGCTGAGGCTTGGATGGGTGAACAGGATGGAGTTGGTCTCACTCAGCTTTGCCCACCCAAGTACTCTGTGCAGCATCAGGGAGAACTTGATAGTTGAGGAGGGGGGTCTATAATGAATCCATCTCTCTCCAGGCTCTGTCCAGTTTATGGGGAGGGCAGGATCTAGAGTGTGTGTTCTTGGCACCCTGACCACCCTGTGATCTTTGAAGGGTGGTATGGAAATTTAATAAATCAGAATAAGAATATGAATGCACAGTGAATGAAGTGCTGCCCGTAATGACAAAGTTGTCACGAAACTTGTTGCCACGAAACTTGTCCTGCCAGAATTGGAAGGTTGGGCATATCTCCTTTCAGCTAAATGTTTTGGATAGAGAGGCCCTAAAGCATTTGTTGAGATGCACTTTAAGCAACAGTAGCATATTAGAACTGTGGACATTGAATTCTGATCTATATCTTATATAGATGCTATTCTGCTTTTTTTCTGCAGGTGCTGATTTACTGAAGCTCACAAGAGAAGATCTGGTACAAATCTGTGGTCCAGCTGATGGAATTCGGCTTTACAATGCACTTAAATCAAGGTAAATATTATCCCTGTGCCAACTCTTGCTTGCATCAGTTTTGTACGAAAGTCTGTTTTAGACTAGAGGGATTTGGGAGATATTAATTTAGATTTTCGATTGGCATATGCCTGTGTGAGCTCATGCAGGAGTTGGAAGTACTGTGCTCAAAAGAAGAATGTTTTGTTGTACACCTTCAGGGCAGGCCACAGATATGATGCAGGCACTGATGAGCTCAAAGGTAGACTGTAAGACTGGTAGCAATGCAGTTGGGCAGTACTGATTTCTTGAAGACGGATGGGTTTGTTGCCAAGAGACAAATCTTCTCATTTAGGTGAGCTATAACCAACCTAAAGTTCTTGAGGTCATGGCTACTAAATATTAACAATTGCAGATTTCTAACTATGAATTAAGCTGGCATAATAGATGATGTTAACTTGCTGTTACTTCTGTTACTCAAGTAGTTATATTACAAAATTGCACCATACACCAGTGTCCTAATTGCTTTAAGTTTGAAGATTAATTCACCACCATTAGACAATCTCAGTGGTTCTGAGATGAGTCATCAGACTAAACAATCTTTGATAGTTTGCCTCAAATGTGAAGTAGTTTGTAAAGAAAATAAGTAGTGTTAAAGTAACAAAACATAATGACGTACGTCCATTTTATTTTGTACAGGAGTATTTATTTTTCCCCCTTACATTCCAGGTCTGTTAGGCCACGTCTAACAATCTATGTATGCCAAGAGCAATCAAGAAGTCTACAACTTGAAAGGCAGCAAGACTCAGGCAGTGGAGAGAGCAGGAATGGTGCAATATATGGTATGTGTCTGTCAGGAGCTTATTTTAGTATCAACTGTATTACTATATGGGACTATATTACTGTACATTGGAGGATTTATTCATCACTTACAGACATCTTTAGGGCTGAAGGTTTTTTGAGTATTTGTTTGGAACAAATAAAAGTTAAATTTCTACTCTGCCAGTGTGAGTAGTTTATAATGGACAGAACTATTGGCGCTTCTGCAGTACAGAGAGCTGGTGTACACTTTATGTGACCTAATACACAGAAAAATACTGGTGAGGATAAACATGATAGAGTCTATCATTTGACATGCCAAGAACAAATCATACCAGATCGGCAGTAACCGCTCCCATTTTTTTATGTAGGTTGGTTAGTAGAAACAGAAATGTAAAGTTGACATAGACTAAATGTACGCACATCTTTTTAACTTGTCCCACAATGCAGCCTTCTTAAAACAAACGTTTTAAAAGGAACTGCTGTTGACAGATGGGGCTTGGATTCGTAGGACCTACATTCAGCTGAAGTGTATGATTCTATAAGGGGTCCCAGATGTGATGCTATTTAACATTTTCATGAATGAGCTACGCAAAGGGCTCAAATTTGCAGATAACAAAAGTGAGGAAATTGCAAACGCTAGAGGAAAAACTAATTTTTTAGCATCATCTTTATATGAATGTTAAGTAAAATTGAGCTTAACAGGAACAAATGAAAAGTGCTGCATGAAAGGATGAACAGAGTGTGATGGTGTAAGGGCTGCATCTATTTAAATCTTATTTGTCTGGGTGAACAGGATCTTAACCGCTTGCAGCAACTAGAAACCATAGCAACTGCTATGTACTATGAAGTGGCACTGGAAATACCTCTTTGCAGGATGATACAGAATGATGTGTGTCCCTTACATAGACATTGTACACTGCCCCTCTGGCTACGTGGAACTCATTTAGAGCACCATGTAGGCAGAACACACTTTGTCTTGGCTCAGTTCCAGGAAGTAATGGGAGCCATTGATGGGTTAGGATGCTCAGATTTCTGTGGTGGCTGGGAAGTGTGTTTACAGTTAACGCAAGTGCACCAAGCCCCTTGAATGATATGTATGATTTGGCCGCAGTTAGTAAAGGTAAAGGGACCCCTGACCATTAGGTCCAGTCGTGACCGACTCTGGGGTTGCAGCACTCATCTCGCTTTATTGGCCAAGGGAGCCAGTGTACAGCTTCCGGGTTATGTGGCCAGCATGACTAAGCCGCTTCTGGCAAACCAGAGCAGCGCACGGAAACGCCGTTTACCTTCCTGCCGGAGTGGTACCTATTTATCTACTTGCACTTTGACGTGCTTTTGAATTTAGTTACATCCTGTTTGGATTTCTGTAACACGGTCTTTGTGGGGCTGCTTTTGGAAAGTGCTCAGAAGCTTCGACTGGCTCAAAGAGCTGCAGCCAGATTGCTGACCATATGGACTGCCTTCTTAGAACAGCTTCACTGGCTTCTGGTCTCTTTGCAGGCACAATTCAGAGTGCTGTTTATGCCCTGTAAAGCCCTACATGGCATAGGTCCAAGCTGTCTGAAAGACCGTATTCCCTCATGCAAACCTGCCCGAGTTTTGAGCTCTTCAGGGGAGGCTCTTCTCTCGGTCCAGCTACCCTCACAGGCACATTGGGTGGGGATGTGGGAAAGGACCTTCTCAGTGGCTGCTCCCAGATTCTGGAATTGGCTCCTTGGATTTGTCCTCCTTGCTCCATCAGGCTTTTGGGCACTGACTGTGAACTTTCAATGAAAGGGTAGTGCTGTGTTGTTTTTACTGTATTTGTATGTTTTAAACAGATATTATATCTGATTACAATTTTAATTCTATCAATTTTTTAATTCTTTTCCACATTTTTAATGATTCTTCTTTTTATTGAGTCCTGTCAGGGGAAAAGGCAGGTTATAAAATGGATATAATTAATAATAATAATAATAATAATAATAATACACTGATTTGTTTCTTTTGTGAATGGCATTTAGTTTTTTAGAATACAGATTCTAGTAACTTTCACAAAGAAAATAGTGATGGGAAGTCTATGCTGAAGGAACATTGTAGGAGTACTTTAAAAGGTATTTTTATTTTAGTTTATCATGCAATCTACTTGGAAGAAATGGCTGCCTCTGAAGTCATGCGCAAACTTGCATTGGTGTTCAATATTCCTTTGCATCAGATCAACCAGGTTTACAGACAGGGTCCTACTGGCATCCATATTCTCGTCAGTGACCAGGTAAATTACATTGTTTTTAATATATCTATATACTGGGCGCTCGGGTGAAGGGTTAGGACAGCCATGGGCATGTTGTTCATAGTAGCCACCCATACCCCAGGTCCCTGCTGTCAGAATGGAAACCATTCAAACTTCTTTTTGAGATCCTTCTTGAACCTCCCACGAGCTTTATTTTTTAAATAATCTCTAGAGTTCACAATGCCTTGTTTCTGTGCTTGTTTAAATTAAAGCATATGTCAGACAAGAGGTTTCCCCAAAAAAAGTTTGGGGCAAATTTCATAATGGTGCTGCTGAGCCAACAAATACAAAAACCCTTATCAACAAAATATGGACTTTTTGGTGATGACTTTAAGCTTGCTACCCCTATAGCAGCAAAGCAGGATATTAAAAATAAAATTTAAAGATTAAATCTAATTAACCAGGACTTTTTAACTATGCAGTTCTCACCATTTTATTATTCTATGAAATCTGATTTTGGTCTATTACATTTTTTCTCTCTCAGTTGATGTGTTGAGGGAGGCATTTCTAATTATGCCATCCCAAACTATGCTGACAATGTATTGTAAATGGGAGAAATGCCAGAATACCAGTAAATCCATAATTTGTGTATCTGCAGCAGGGAGAGGTGGAAAATATTATTCATTATATTACGTATTGCTGCTAGGGACAGATTTCTCAAAGGAATTTTCCACTTTCCTTTTTGAACAGGGAGAAATATCTGTTGTTTGTTGATGGGTGGGGATACATGATTTCTGCATTTGCCTTAGCAGCACAATGGATCAGACACCATTTCTGTGTGCTGGGGACAACCCATGCTAAAATGTACTTCAGTTCTGTTTGTATTTTTATTATGGCCTCTAACAAATAAATTTGAGTACCTAATATATATATAAGGGATTATGTTTAATGAGTGTTGGGTTAGAAATCTAAAAAGTATTGTTTATTCATAAACTCATCAATTTCTCTGCCATTCCCCCATTAACCCCCTATGGTTCCCCTTCCCAAACGCATTTCTGAAGCCACTTCGTCACTTCTGTTTTCTGCAGCTTTGCTTTGTGCCAGTTTTCACCTTCACCCCCCCATGTCTGTGCCTCCACCACCACTCTTTTTCTGGAACTCCCTGCCATTTAATACAGATCACCTTCTGTATCTTCGTCCTTCCCACACCTTGCAGCTACGAAGCACCCTTTTCAACTTCCACCCAATTATGCAACCACACCCCCTCCTATTCTGCAGGCCCATTAATGCCCCTGCTTTTATCTTCACCCCTGTTGCTGTGCCACCTAATCACTCCTGTTTTGCAACCCTCTTTTTTCAACTCAGACTTGCACACAGGCCATCCCCATTTCCATGCTTCATCCTCTCTCTTGTTCTGCAGCCCCATTTATGCCCAAAGCACATGCTGATATGTAATGTAGCTTTACGACAGAATATCCAAGAGCAAGCCTGCCAGTTAGCTTGTTCAGTTAAAGGTTCAGTTCATGGCTGTTGTACATAGGAGTGTTTGCTTGTTAATGAAATATCTCTTTTAAATTACTACACTGAACCTGGAACTTCATTGTGTGAGCATATGGAATATTTGAGGGGGGTCTGCATCTGTTATTTCTCGCATGGCGCAGTCGAGGGATGGAAGTTGAAGATGAATGAAAAGGCAGAAGTAGATGCTTAAAACAACAGCAGAAATTTAAGTAAAGTTGGGGATTGAGAGACACCACAAATATTCAAGCAGGGTCTGCACAATTATATTCTTACATTTGTAGAGATACAAAGATCCAGACACCCACACATGGCCACATAACTGTCACTCGTCATTGAGCACAGTAGAGTTTTATTTTTTAAAAAATACCATGCAAACATGATGACGACACTTTTTTACTAGAGCTCAGGTTGCTTGGCTCTCCTTGTGGCAATTTTGGGTGATGCATGAAACTTAGGTACACTGCTATGCATGTAGCTGCATTTAATTGTCTTTCTTCCTAGATGGTTCAAAACTTTGAAGATGAAAGCTGCTTCTTAGTTACCACAATAAAAGGTATGCTAATAATAATGGACAAACCCAGTGTTGAAAATGATACCCTTAGCTTAGTTTTAAAAACTGCCTATGTGATGCACTGGCTTCCCTGCATTTTTTACTTACCAGTAGTTTTTTGCAGTACGTTAGTTAAAGCAGACTTGCATTTAAATGTTTTACATTCAGTTTCTCTTTAAATACCTTCCATTATTTTTGTTCTGAAATTGAATGTGTTTTAAAGTTGCAACCTGCTTCTCCTGAACTCGGGACTACTTTCAACCACTCTATATACTGCCATTTAGATATCTTTCAGTAAAAGAAAAAGGAACTAAAACTATTAAAGTTACACTTGAAAAAATGTTTTCAAAGTATTTAATTTTTGCTGAATGAGTCTTTCCAGAATTGTGAGATACTTAGGCATAAGAACTGATGACATCTGTCTTTGTAGAGTAGAACGGAAACAGTCCTGATTTCAAGGTCTTATGGAACCCATAGTTTGGCAGTTCAGTGAGCCCTAGAAAATACTTTTTAATAGCTTTTTATATTCATGTGCTTTCATTATAAAATTTTATTATAAATTGAAATAATGGCTCCTTTTGAATTACAGCTGAAAATGGCGAAGGCTTCCATATAATTTTGAAGTGATGTTGCCATACAATATAATGGACTGATATTCCAGTATAGAATGAAGTCATGCTCAAGAATGACAAATAACACCGTCTCTTCAGGGATCTGACTTCACCGTATAGAATGTTTCATATTGAAAACACAAGGTGACCTTTCTAATGAGCTGTTTAGTAGATGAACTTCCCACTGCCATAGCCAAAAGTCCTCATAAGAGGTAACAATGCCGGAATAGCTAACGTACAGGCATGGAAAAAAACAAAGGTGTTTGCCCTTTTTAAAATTAAGGCAAGCTATGGCCAGTAGATGCAGTTTGTAGAAGCGTTACTGCTTTCCTATTACACTGTATCCAGTTTGAATGTAAACTTATTCTGGGCATTTACCTTTCTGTGCCAGTTTGTCTATTACTCGCTTGTACCTTTATGCTGATTTTATTTTTTGATGTTAGCAGAGCACATAGTAATTTGTGTGGAAATAAGTAGTAAAAATGATAGCAATCAGGTTTTGGGTCTTGAGAGTAAAGCTGTCAAAACAGCATCCTCCGTGTAAATTGTGTATAAGCGTGAATGTAAGAAGTGTAAATGTCAAAAGGTGGACTTACTGAAAGTCCTAGCCAGATGAAAATTAAGCATGCAGCAGACCGCATCATCATCAGTACCTATTTGAGAGGATAAGAAGAAATCCTGTGAGGTACAATACTTTGCTTTGTAATAGGCATGTTACAGAAAATCTGCCTATGCATCATGTCTTTTTTAGTTTTTTCTATAAAGCACTACTGCAGCATTTCAATTTCAATGTTTCACTTTTTGAACCACACTATTAATAATAGTAGTGAGTTGGGACTTCCTCATGGAGAAAAAGGGAATGTCACTGGCACCAAGGGACTATTCTAAAGCATTAAGCAGGAATCTACAAACGTTGATTTTGGTTACCGCTCTAGTTGAAGACCAGGATCTTCCCATGTGTGAACTGTTCGTTGCTTTTTTATCTCTGACTGATGTGGAAAACCATAGTTACAGTGCCTCTTCCATACAACCAAATACTTGATTAGCAGTTGCACAACTTAATGAATGAGCTGCAAAAATGTCCTTAAATGTTGGCTGAAGAGCAGAGAACTATCGAAGGACAGGTGCACATGTCTGCTCTGCATTAATATAGGTTTGTGGGAGATTCAGACAGAGAATGCTGGTTGTTCCGTCATGGTAGGTGGCTTGCCCCTTAATCAAATAGCTAAAATCTTAACTGATGTAGTGAATATTTGAAGGTGGGAAGAGCAGCATGTCAAATACTGTTCTTAATTTCATTCCCATTTATAATTATGCCTAGGTTAAGTCTTTCTGTTAAGAATGTTGTTTCATTCCTAGAGTAGGATGAGGGCTTACTCCCCACCCCCCATGACCTGGACTATTCTGCACTGATGGGGAAGGAGAGTAGAGTTTGTGAGCATACTTAATTGTTTTGAGTTTTTCTTGCCTATAAATTATTTTGGTTGTACTCGGGTGTCTTCAATGGACTTGATGCATCATCTCATTTTTCTAATCTGTGGAGAATCTGAAAAATGTCACGATTAAATTATAAAAGCTGTACAGTAGTTTGGTTCACTTGGATTTAATTATGGCACCAGCAAATTGCTTTTTGTTTTTAAATAAGATGTATACATTTCAATTTCAGTAAAAACATTTTCCAATAATGATTGTATCTTTCCTTACTTGCAAAGTAATACTGAAGTGCAGGTGGTGCTGAGATCTTTTTGTTTGGACAGAAGCTTTCCACCCATTTTCAGCTACTCAAGTATGAAAACTGTTCTGAGTATGCTGTTGGCAGAAGATTGACTCTTGCATTAATTTTTCTTTCGTGGGGCGGGGGGAATGATTGAAACCAGTCTAAATAGGGATGCCTTTATTTAAATAGTGTACCAAATTTTTTTACTTAGAGCAAGTACCTTTTTAATAACTGGAATTTCATAAACACTTTACCTTTTAAGAGTTGAACACATATCAAAACAATTTTGTTTGACAAGCTATTAGATTTTTCCCTGTGACAGCTTAAATTACCATAGACAGATAGCAAATCAGACAGATATGGTCTGCAGACTATTCCTCTCAACAGAAAAAGAAATACATTTTCCATTGTTGGCAATCAATGTAATGCATAATCTAGCTGTAAAGAAGTCTCAAGACATCAGTACGTAGCATTTCCAATCATACATTTTTTCCTCAATTTGATGACCCCTTAGCTGAAATGAATCGATTCCTTTAATTTTCAGTGTGCTGTGAACATAGAGTTCAGGGCATACACTGGCTATGTTAATACAGTGGTACCTTGGTTTACAACCATAATCTGTTCTGGAGGTCCGGTTGCACTTTCGCCAATGGGGCCTCCCCCCAAAAATGGGTTGTACAGTGATACTTCAGGGTACAGATGCATCAGGTTACAAACTCCGCTAACCCAGAAATAGTACCTTGGGTTAAGAACTTTGCTTCAGGATGAGAACAGAAATTGTGCAGCGGTGGCACGGTGGTAGCGAGAGGCCCCATTCGCTAAAGTGGTGCCTCAGGTTAAGAACAGACCTCCAGAACGAATTAAGTTCTTAACCTGAGGTACCACTGTAATCCAGAAAAAGGGACACACACTTCTGGATTTGACATGGTTGTAATCCAAAGCAGTTGCAAAACAAGGTACCACTGTATATGATTTACCATTATATGGTATATAATGAATTAACCCCTCAGGCTTAGGCATACTGCTTCTCCTCCTGGAATAGTAGTGAGAAGATTGATAATGAAAACTTCTAATCTCACTGCTGCACCAGAGACGTGCACAAGTCCCATTCACATAACACAGCAATGGGAAATAACCAGCTCTCTAGCTGTTCTTCAATTCCAACTTCCAGCAACAGCAGCCAGCATGGATCAGTGGTCAGGATGCTAGAAGCTCCAATGTCTTAACATCTGGAGGACCACACATTCTCCCTAGTATAATATTACACGGTTTGAGTGAGATATCTAATATGTCAGGCAGAACTTAACCCCTGCCACAGTACCACTGCTTATTTTCAGAAACATTGTATTGCGTTGTCCTATTATTTTTATGTTCTATATATTCATAATATTGGCTTCAAAGATTCCCATGAGACAAAAGCACTGTTCCACCTTAAATGCTTATTCCTTTTCAGCAAAGCCCAAGTAACTACTAGACAAATATGCCTTTCCTATTTAGAGCCCTACAAGAGTCCTTTCAGAACTTAGCAACTGGTTTATAATTGCCCTTGGGAAACAGCCTCTAGCATTTCTCCAATATAGGAAATTGGAGTATCGGGGAAAGGTGCAGGAGGCATCCATAAAACAGGAGGCAGTATCGTATGGGGCAGGTCTGAATGTTTTAGCCAGTTCCCCAGTCTCCTGCAGTTCTGAACCAGAGACCATATGTGAGGAAGATATACCCTCCAAATCAGTATGGCACAAGACTGAAGGTAAATACCATACTGCACTCCCTTAAATATGGGGGGCATGGATACCTTCTGGAAAGAACATTCATGGTAAGTAACCAACATTTCATTCCGAATAATGGCATACAGGAGGCATCAAGAAAACAATAGGACTTGCTTAAGCTGTCTGGTCAGGGAGGAGCATTACAAGTGACCATTCTAGGATTTTAAACTGTTTTTATTGATAATTTTAATATTTCAATCTAGTGGTATATAAATTTTGTTAAATAAATCAAGGCAATCCCCCCACCTGAAACGAACAGCATAAAGACAAAAAACCTGTCTTATTCTAGTCCAGGCAAGACTCTCAAGAAATGGCCAGGAAAGAAAGAGACCCCCCTCTGAAGCACATCCCTTTTCTTATATTTTTATTAAAACATCCCTTAGGGCCACCTCCCCAGTCACTGACCCTTTAAAGACATACCAGATTGTATGACTGTCCATTGTGTTAGCTTCAGAGGTCTAAATGGCAAACCAACAAACCTAGTATCTGCTATAAAGGCTAGAGGTCACCAGACAAATTTGAATTCTGTATACAGTGGTACCTCGGATTACAGACGCTTCAAGTTACAGACTCGGCTAGCCCGGAAATAGTACCTCAGGTTAAGAACTTTGCTTCAGGGTGATAACAGAAATTGCGCAACGGCAGCAGTGGGAGGCCCCATTAGCTAAAGTGGTACCTCAGGTTAAGAACAGTTTCAGGTTAAGAATGGACCCCCAGAATGAATTAAGTTCTTAACCTGAGGTACCACTGTAGCCTATTGTCAGTCTCCTGCCATCAGATCCTTCACCCAAAGGAAGGATGCACAAGACAAAATAGAAGCTGTGGAAGAAGTCCGCTGGCCGGTCTTTAACACTGGCTCTGAACATTGCTTGCCTAATCCTTCAAAGAGGTATCCCCATCCCAGGGGACCACTGCCTCCAACAATAGCACTACTACTGGACCATCATCAAAGGGAAATTTGAACCTGTCCAAGGTCTTTTCTGGAAAGGAATAAAACTTTTCTGCTACTCCTACAGCCTTCCTACCTTGCAAGGGTGTCGATCAATCAGCACTGACCAGCTTTCTGAACAATGCCAGAAAGGGAACCTCACTGGAAGAAGAATTTGGAGCTGGAAAATCTGGTGCTTCTCTAGACTATGACTGGGATGTCAAGGTCTGCTTATGATTCCAGATCTAGGGACAATACCCTAGAAAGAAAAGGCACAAAATCATCAGAATGGAGTAACTGGTGTAAGCATCTTGCTGCTGCCATGTGAGACCACTCTTCTTCCTTCCCAGGGGAGTCCTAAGGATTCCTCTGTAGAGAAGGAAGAGGAGCCTCAGACCCTATACCCAAAAGAGTCTTTCAACACACCATGGAAAAGTGCCCATAAAAAGGCTTGCAGACAGACTCTTGAGCTGCTTTTGTTTCCCATGAGATTTGTTTTGTTCTTTCCCCCCTTTTTTCAACACTACTGACTCTGGAAGGAGCAGGCATGAAAAGAACCTCCCTTGACCAGAGAGCTAGAACAAATGGCCCACCCTTCATGGGGCACCAGATGTCATATGGCATCAAGCATGGGAAAGGTGAAGCCGTGGTAGCAAAGGAACAATAGGGAGTGCTCCTGATGGTTCCTTTGCAGCTGCCCTGCTACTTTCAGAAGGGAATCTATTCCCCAGAGGTTCCTGGAGCCACAGTCCTTACGCTTCGATGGCTCCTCTCTTCTGACTGGACAGGCAGGATCACATGAAGATCCTTGCTGGGGGACAAGTCGTCCCACACTCTCCAGACTGGCCCTGTCTTCCTAGCAAGGCAGATAGGTTTCCCCCCCAGCGCTGAATAAAATTTGGCAACTTTTACATGTGTTTGGTCTATTTCATTTTTCTTCTTAACCTTGCCTTTTTCCTTCAAACCCCTCCCCTACACACAATCTTCGTACAGTGTACTGGAGCAGAGATCCAGGACAATTTATGGGGCATCAGCTACACACTTGCTTAGAATTACGTTCCATTGAACAAAGAGAAGTTCCTCTGCAGCTGTGGCTATACCTGTTCCATGCTTGATGTCATATGAAGGCTGAAGTTCAACTCTATCACATGACACTGTCTCACTGGGGAGTGGTGTGATAAGCCACTATCTTCTGGGTGCTTCCTGCATACCATTCCAGAGAAGCTGCTTTGTTCAACAGGTTACATTTGCCTTTGTTTGAAGGCAAGTTATAATATTATGGCCTGTTCAGGTTCTGTAGACCAACCGTGCCAACAGTTAAATACATTTTTGGTTACATGTGTTAAAGGTTTTCCCCGATGATCTTTAATACTTAAACCATGGAGGTGCAACTAACTGTAGGGTTCTACTGTTGGTATTTTGTTCTGATCAACTTGACACTCGTATCTCCACGCCAGCTAGTACACGTTGGCACTGCAATGGCAGAAATGCTAGAGGAGAATAGTCAATCCAAGTGCCAACACTGTTCCATATCTGCATATTTTACCTGTAAATTAGCATTGGAATTATGACCAATGCAGAATTGGATGGTTGGAAAAAACAACAACACATTGTTTTATAGCTTAACCATGGCTGCTCCCAGTCATTCATTCTTTCATCCAACATCTTCAGTGCCACTCTTTACCTGCTAAAGAATAATGCAGCATCGGCAGAGTTGCTGGCGAGTGCCTCCTACAGAAGGAGGCGGAGTTACTGGAGCAAAGTAAGCATGAACTTTCACATCTGGTAGATGAGCCTGTAGGCAAAAATTAGTACTCAATGATGTTGAACAAGTTACCGTACAATTTGCATCCCAATATAGTCAAACATCTGCTTTGCTGCTGAACCCTCCCCTCCCAACAGGACCCCAACCCTCAGTTCTGCATTGCCTTAATAAATTACGTCCACTTTAGTAATTTCATTAAATTGCCAGTCCTGTTCAGACTGCTTAGGCAGTAGTCTCCAATTTCCAGGATCCTTTAGCAAACAATCATTACTTGAATTTTTACTGGAACTCATTCCAGAACAACCCACTTTTGTTAATCTTGCTCTGCAGAGCTAATAACTGCTAATGAAAAGCAGCCAAATATCCAGAATTCGGCAGCAACAGTATCAAGGTGATCCTGCCAGCCTTCATCCTAACTTTATGAACTCACAGGAGAACAAAGTGTAGCTGCAACCAAAGCAGTTTTTCCACCTTTTCAAAAAATTCTGTAACCCACTCTGGGACCTTAAGGTGAAGGACAGGGAATTTTTTAAAGAATATTTCCTCCCAACCCTTGATAGAGACATCTGAAGAAATAAGCTGCTCATCTTTTTCACAAATCCCTTTCTAGAAAGAAAAATGGATATGCTGCTCCCGTTGCAGGTGCATGGTGTTCTGCATAAATTTAAATAGCATTGAGTTCAGTATTGTGCACTCTTGCTGAATGACAGCCTATGAATAGACACTTTATTAAATGATACGACACTGGTCTTGGTGTGTATTAAAAGTCATGCCAGGAGCTACCTTGATATATCAACACTGAGGCTCTGCATCTCAGCACAGTTGTGCAGTACGTACTCTTATTCTTTTGATGCCTGCACGGGTGACTTGCTGACAGTCATATAATTCAATTCTTTCTAAGTTGTGGCAATTTTCAAGATGTTCAAGGGTCACGTCTGTGATTAGAAGGCAGTTGTCCAATTCAAGTACTTGGAGTCTTTCATGTCCACATGTGCTGCTGCTCAGATGCAGAATCCCATCATCCGTGATCAGTTCACAGTGGGACAAGCTCTGTAACAAAGATGAGAAATGCAATGTTTCATTAATGCATATTTCTGTAACGGGTCAAATCCATCTCCTCTCATTTAGGAAAAGGAATTTTTTTCTGAGATGGGTGACTCCACTTATTCAGTTGGAGACTATTTCCCCCAAATTTTGACCTGCTTCAACTGAAGAAAGCAGAGTTATCCATGGCTCTTGAGAAACTTTCTGTAGATGAAGTGAAATAGAAAGGCTAAAAAAACCCAGGATTTTCTACCCTTTTTGCAAGTAAAATAAACAAGTAAATAAACAGGAACTTACCAATGCTTGCAATTTAGGGCAATGAATGGAAAGTTGTATCAATGTGCTATCTGTTATCTAGAAAGAAAGAAAGTATATAGAGAACAGTGTCAAACTCAGGGATAGGCAAAAACACATATCAGGTAGTTTTTGTAGTCTGCACGTTTTTCTGGACACAGAAGAGCATCATCTTTTAATGATACTTTTACTAGATCTGATTCAAAGGCCTTGTACAAATAGGTCTCACCAGAACACATTCTTCTAGGTCCATCTTTTCTAGTTCATGGCAATTCTAAAAGTGAGAAAAAAAGCATTCCACCATTAAAAGCAAGGCTAAACTGAGAATTTAAGATTTTGTAAACTTCCAGTATGGCGCGTATACTTTATGACATGTCAGGGGCTGACTAGATGAGGAAGGGTGGTGAAAACAGGCCCCCCCCAGCAAATAAAAGCGCAGAGGAAGAGGAGATGGATCCAGGCTCCTAGTGGTGGACAACCAGACACACCCCAAAGGGGAAGAGCTGGGAGGTACTAGACTGGGAGTTTGGAGGACAAGGAAAAAGGGGCAACAAGCAGGTGCCCCAGCACAAAGCAAAGACAGTGACTCCTGCCAAGCCACCCCAATGTTTCTGCTGACAGCCTGCCAGCTCCTCCCAATCCCAGCAGAGAAAGCAGCCAAGCAGAGAAAGAAGGTACCTTGGGGCTCACACAAGAGAGGGGCATGACACAGAGGGAATGAAGTGGGAGGTGCAAGACAGTCTGAGCAATGGCTTGCTATGGGGGAGTACACTGCTGTAGTTTCCGTGTTTTTTTCTGTTCTGATTTCTTAATAAAACAACTAACTGCAAGTTAGCTGGTGTTGCTTTCTCTTTCTCTCTCTCTCTCTCTGCTCTGCAAAGCGTGCTATGTGTCAGCTCCCTTGACAATACACGACTCATATGTACTGAATATGAATAACTGTGGTTTGTTTTTCCTCTTATCCAAAACAACAGGCTGAATCCTCAGTGGGTGGAGATACAGTGAAGCAACCCTGCTTAATCTGGAAAATGTATCTTAATTTTGTAATCAGTTTTTTTAGAACTGAAAACAAGGGAACTTGACCCTCATGCATAGCTGGGCAAAAGCAAGGTCACAACCAGTTCAAGGGTTACCTAGTCAAACTCCCTGAAACAGACAGATTTCCTCCTTATATCTTTGCACATGCAGATATGTACTTGTGTAAGATACTCTTTTTAAAAAATGTGTGGTCAATGTGGTACAAGGACTAGAGGTGTGTCTAGCTGTGTGAAATTGAGTTACAGTATCCATTCATTGTTGAAACTTACTCTACCTCAAAGGGTTATGAGCCTAAAAGTTCTGCTATAAGATACTTAGAGGAAGTATGGGATAAAAAGTTAAATAATATTAACCTTACCTACCCGTGCTAGAAGTGCAAAACCAGCATCAGTGAGATGTGAACACCTTGCAGCCTCCAGAATCCTGAAAAATAAACATTTCTGCAGTTGAGAATAATCAGAAAGAAATCCTTGTGATGACACCAGGAAACTAGCATGTGATTCTATGCAATGGAAACAGGGATAAATAATACATCTACTATCCTAGATTATTTTATCATCTCTGTTGGCAATGAGACTACAAATTTCAAGTTCTGCAACATGACTAAAATCCTGTTTCTATGGATGATACATTATGAGAACTGAAGATCTCCTTGATTGAGACCTGAAAACATTTTGGTCGAGTCGGGGGGGATGAAGAAGGCTGAAGTCTGTGACAGCTGTCATGCCTTGTGGACGTGGATGGACAGAGGTCATTATTAGCATTCTCTCATCATTACCAACATTCGGCCACACCTTCTTGATCACATTCACAGTTTTGATGACCTGGAACTGACTATTTCTTGGAATTCCAAATTGTTGAAGACCTGAAGCAACCCAGGGCTATAAGCCAGGTGAAGTGTCTCCATCCATTTTTGTTCCTTTCAAGCAATGAACCATCATTCATGCCATAATGTACAGTCATACCTCGTGTTGCGTTAGGTTCATGTTGCGTCTTTTCAGCTTGCGAACACGGCAAACCTGGAAGTGTATACCTCTGGGTTTTGCCGCACGCACAGAAGCATTCTGCAAGCTTTACGCAGGCACAGAAGTGCTCTATCGTGCTCTGCACTTGCGCAGAAGCGCCGCTCTAGTTGCGGACTTTTCAGGGTGCGAACGGCACCCCAGAATGGATCGTGTCTGTAACTAGAGGTACTACTGTACTTAGGAGGACCAGATTAGGAGACCCAGTTTCAAATTCCTATTCAGACAAGTAGTTCAGTGGGTGGACCTGGATCCATCTCTCTTCCCTCTATCTGATCTACCTTACAGGTTTGTTGAGAGAAGAAAGGGCAGGTGAACCCTGAGCTCCTTGGGGAAAAGGTAGGATACAGATCTAAAAATACAGCTTGGGTGTACACAATTACTTTCTGACAGGCTGCCTCCTGATAGTGTTTGCTGTCCGACAGCACATCACAATAATGCTATACCCGTTCGCATCCTGTGTAGAACACGACTGCGCGGGTCGCGATTCGCCGCTTCTGTGCATGCGCGTGATGTCATTTTGAGCGTCTGCGCGAGCGGCGAAACCCGGAAGTAACGCGTTCCATTACTTCTGGGTCGCCGTGGAGCGTAACCTGGAAACGCTCAACCTGAAGCATATTTAACCCGAGGTATGACTGTACTACATTGTAGTGTGCCATTTGTACTAACGTTGTGCTAGCTTTTTGGATGCAACCAATTCAGACCATCTAAGTTTGTGATATATTAACTAGCATTGGAAGAATACTGATGGGATGCAATAAGTATTATGTAGTTTAAGCTTGCTGCTTTTTTATTTAGGTAGTCAGCAAACAGAATTATCTTTTTCTCTCCTTAAATGGGAAATAGGCTGCTCGTTCACTTTCCATCTCGCATATACCAACTGTTCTGTTTCTGAATCAGCATCATTCAAAACTATATACACATCACTGATCTCTTATGCCATTGCTAAAGGTTCTATTGTTACAAGAATAGCTTGGTTCCAGTTTTTAGAAAGGCTAGAATACATCTAGGGTAACTTCAAGGAATCCCAAATAGCCTGGAAGAAGTTGTTCATTGTGGTGGTGGCAATGTTTCCTAGTGATTAGTCTGTTTTTATAACAGAACAACCCTCTTTACCTTGTTATGGATGTGTTTTGGAACTTGATTTTACACTGATGATGTGCTGAAGAAAGAGAGTTTAGAAAAGGAACTTTGGCTTTCACCCAGCATGTTACGTTTGTTGATCCATCCCTTGGAGTAGTTTAAAATTAACAATTTTAAAAACTGAAAAAAGCAGCAGGAAAAGAAGAAAAGTGCAGCCATAACCATCAGGAAATAAAAATTGCAAAACAAAATATAAAATGCACCAACCTTTCTATATTCACCTTAAGGGAAATAATGCAGAAATACATTGCAAAGAAAAATTCACCTCCACAAACAGACCCTAAGAAGAAGTGGGAGGGGAACAATATCAGGAAGAGGGAGATGCACAATAAACAGAATTGCCAATAAGTATCATTTTTATTTTAAGACTAGCAAGTATCTGAAATTATGTGGGCAGGAGGGAGAGAGAAGGGCTTCCAAATGGAGTGGGGTCAGCAGCAGAGCATATATATACCTGCGCTGTCCAGGGCGGGCGTGCTCCCGAGGAGGGCATGGTACAGAGGGTGCCCTCCCAGGCATGGGATAGCTGCTTGGGTGCCCGGAGTGGCGCACGCGCCCTCCAGCCGGGAGCGGAACAAGCCGCCCATGGGGGCAGAGCAAACCGCCCATGGCGACCATTCAGTGTGCCGCCCACACACGACTCCCAAGCCTCCCCCAAGCTGTCAAAGCGAAGGGGGAAGTGGGGAATGCTGCCGGCAAAGCTCCCCCCTTACCCCAATGGCTCAGGGTGAGCTTGGGAGCTGTGGGTGGGTGGCGCGCCGAATGTCACCCCCCCCTCAGTGAGGGCACCCGGAGTGGTCCACCCCCCCTTCCTACACCCGAGTGGGGTGGGAAATGCATCTGTGTGTGCTCCCTGCAGTCTCATTTAATGCAGAGACTCCTATTCTCTGCCAGGAATGGGAAGTAGGCTTTACCTGCAAGTATACCCATACTGATTAATGTATGACATTCTTTTTTTGAGGGTGGAGGCGGGGTTAGATGCCTGCACCCACAGACACTGCTGGACTCATGAGCATAACCAACACCACTGCTACTCATCTTATTTTCTGTTCCCGATTTAGGAAGGTGTGTTATTTTTCCAACTTTTAAAAAATTATTAGCTTATCCTCTAAGATTAAGTGGAATCTTTCTTCCCATGCTATAATTCTAGGAGAAAAGCTGTTCCCCCCACCATGCAGCTTGCTTCTCTTTCCACACTGTCCCTAGTGATGTATAAACAAGGTTTTGCTTGCCCATCCTCCTCCTAAATATTTATATGAATGTCTGGGGGGAAAGCACAATTACACATTCCGGGCAAAATATAGAAAGAAAGCAGAGAAAGATGAGGGAACGGTTAAAGATAAACCACTACTTGCATATTGTGGTTTAATTAGCAATTCCACACTTTTTTCAAATGGGTGGCTCTGTTAGTCTATTGCAGCAAAACAACAAAGTTTTGTGGCACCTTCAAGGCCAGCAGATTTATTGTAGCATGAGCTTTTGCAGACTACAGTCTACCTTTGGCACATTTAAGTTAACAATGAAAAGTATTATATCTAATCAGGTCTCAGAAATTTATCTGTAATATAGGATTACATTTTCAGTTAGTTTTCAGGAATATGCAAATTTCAATATATGTGACTTTAAAAATACTAAAATCACACAGGGGAGGATCCTAGCCATACTTACTTGGAAATAAGTCCTGTGGAACTTACTTAGGAACATAGAAAGTTGCCTTCCATTGGGTCAGGTCCACCTAGCTCACTGACTCGCAGAACTTCTCCAAGGTTTCAGACAGGAGTTTTTTGCAGCACCACCTGGAGATGGCAGGGGTTGAATCTGGGCCCTTCCCCATTTTCCTGTTTTGCTTTTCGATAAATACGCATTGGACTGCATCATAGTTGTCACTGAAAACTATTAGGCACCTGCTAGTCTGATGACGATGAATGCAACTTCAAAGCAGAGGGAGACAACCACCACTCAGTAATGTGTGAACTGAATAGTACTCACTTCAGTCTTGGACAGTTCAGACCAAGAGCTACGAGAGAAGCATCTGTAAGGTTTGTACAACCAGAAACACAAAGCGACTGGAGTTGGTGACATCCTCTACAGATACCTGCTATGCCTTCATCCGATATTTGCTGTAACAAAGAACAGTGGGAAGTTCTGTCATCTGAAGTTAGGCAATTTCTCTTAAGGTGTATCAAGTTTACACAATTAAATAACAAATGTTAACAATAACAATTCTCAATTTGTTCCATACTGTTTATTTTCACTACAAGGGCATGCTAGTCAACATTTTTATAGATTCCGCTCTATAGTCATCTGGAAAGGAGTTTCCTCAAACACAGTGCTTTATCTTGCAGTTTGGTGCACTATTTCAAAGGTGGATTTCCTTTCAACCTTGATAATATGCATTTTGCTGAAGGAAGCAAGTATACTAGCAGCCAAAAAGAAAAAGAAAGAGAAGCTTGCGTGCAAACATGCCAAACAATAATTATGTCAAGAAATCACTATTACAGTCAAACCTTGGTTCTTGAACGGGTCCGTTTTCAAATGTTTCGGCCCCCAAACACCAAAAACCTGGAAGTAACCGCTCCGGTTTTCGAACGATTTTTGGAAGCCGAAGGTGCTACACGGCTTCCATTTTTAATTCCCCTATTGCATTGAGGCTTCCGCTTTCAGTTTTCGGTTGTTGAACATTTAAGTCTAATAAGTCTTCTGGAACGGATTACGTTTGACAACCGAGGTTTGACTATAGTTCATGATTCTAGGAAAGCAAGAAAAAGGCTGGGAAACAATGGGAGGGCACTCATGAGAATTTTTTGTGAGCTACTATAGAGAAGGGGAAATGTGAATCACCTGGCCCCCACTCCACATCTCCTCATTTTTTAAATCCATCAGCAACCATGCTGGGTGATTGATTGATTGATTGATTGATTGAGATCCAGCACTGAGGGCCTTCTGGCGGTTCCCTCATTGCAAGAAGTGAGGTTACAGGGAACCAGACAGAGGGCCTTCTCGGTAGTGGCGCCCACCCTGTGGAACACCCTCCCTTCAGATGTGAAGGAAATAAGCAGCTATCCTATCTTTAAAAGACATCTGAAGACAGCCCTGTTTAGGGAAGTTTTTAATATTTAATGCTGTATTGTTTTGAACACTTGATTGGGAGCCACCCAGAGTGGCTGGGGAAACTCAGCCAGATGGGCGGGGTATAAATGATAAATTATTATTATTAATTATTATTATTGATCCCTTTCTTTCCTGCTAGCTGAGAACTGCTCTGGAGCTCCTAGCAATGGTGTGGCACAAGTTGTTAGGAGTTATCACTGCTTTGGTGGGAGACTGAAGGTTAATTGTTATGATGTGCCCTTTTGTGTGTGTTGGCTATAATGGATCCATGACTGAGTTGTTTGGCTGAGCACCTGCTACGATCTTCATTTAGGTGTCTAGGGAAAAGAAATCTTGCAGGCACCATAGTAGGACACCCTCTCTCGGTGATAGAGGGGAGAGAGGCATGGCTAGAAGAGGGAACACCAAGATTACAGGTACTTGTCCCTCGCCAAATTCAAATAATTATTGACTACTGGTTGTGCTGGCTCGAGTTCATGGTTCATCATCCGAACGGTCACAAGTTCCCTACCTTTGGCATGTCATGTACACCAAATTCCTGACCTTGGAATTGATTATTTGCCCCTTCTTTGATATGCCCTAATAACTTTAGGCTTCTATTTTTGATATCTTCTTTTATAAAGTGGCACTTTATAAAAGAAAATGGAACAACCAGGACAAACTGAACATTAGCTGTGTGACAATATTTTCAAAATTCTGAATGCATGGCAGAAGCTTGTTTGGTACATGTGTATTCTCAATATTAAACTGTGAAGCCTAGCATTAATTTTTTCTCAAAACAGATCCCAGAATGGATTAAGTTCGAGAACCAAGGTACCACTGTTGTTTTCATCCTAGGAGAATGACCTTTTCCATCTAATCATAGACGCTACAAAGTGCAAAGAGAAGTACTTACCATGCATGACTGCAAGTTTAAGATAACCAGTTCATGGCAATGAGTCTCAATGTGGTGAAGCGCCTCATCTACCAGCTGTATTAATGAAGAGAAAATAAATTGGCAGAAGAAGTGGACATAAGCAGTATGGCATGGCAAAATCTCACTTCAATAAATGAATACTGCTTTATTACTCAAAAAAACTTTGTCAGATACCCCAATATAAAACTAACTCTTATGGGTTCAACTTGGTACCTTAGCAGGTTTGTACCTGTGTGCATCCTCTAAGAAATAGTGCTTTTAGTCCATTGCACCCTTTCACCAGTGCTTCAATGCCATCTTTTGTAATCTGATCACACCAGGAAAGATTCAAGAGTTCCAGATTTTGGCATCCCTCACTGCAACAAGAAAACAAAGCAGTGTGTTTGAGTAGTTATTATAGCAGCAGAGCCAAATTAAATTCTTCTTAACAAATATTAAAGGTAACTGCCAGCCATCACAGAACAAAATCTTGAGGGAAAGGACACACAGTCATAATGATTTAAACACCAGCAATACTAGTAATAGGCAGCACCAGTCGATTTCCAGATATGAACTTAAATCATTTCAATGTAAGTTGAATAATAAAAAGCTTTACCTTAAACTTTTCAAAGAGTTGTTTGTGATGGAAATACAAGATGTCAGATCCAGATGTTTTAGCCTGGGGCAAAATTTGCTAAGGCTAAAGCAAGTGCTGTAAAGGAAGAGAGGCACTAAAAATGAATCGAACTAATTTTTTTAAAAAATCAGTTTTCCCATCCGACACCATTGGCTTACCTATCAGTAATTTTTGTGCATCCATTAAGGTTCAAATGTTCAATGTTTCTACAGTTCTGTGCAAATGTTCTGCAAAAGCAATAAAATTAAAAAGCCCAAATAAGTAGAGCACATTTTTATATACTAATGCACTCTCCCATCAGACACTTAACATTTACAATGCATCAAAAACACTGTTAGCTGTGTTTGAGATAATATTCAGGTTCTGTCAGAGCTTTCACACTAAAAAACTATTTGCAACTTATTAATCTCATATCCATTCCTTTAATTATTATGCCATCATGCAAAGGGGGAAGTGTCTCTGCACAGCTGTTCTGAAATTCCCCAAACAATTAAAGTAAAAGGTTAATTACAGTAAGAATTTCTGAATTGTTTTAAATGACTTACAGTTTGATCCTATGATGACTGGAGAGAAAAGGACTTAAAATGCACATGACCAGGTTTTTTAACATCCCATTCACAACCTTGTTGCCAGACAGTTCTAATAGCAGTGTTAGAAACTGAGATATGAAAGCTAGGAGCTAAATGGCACCTTAAACCTAGGTTATGGGTGCAACAACGGAATGTCTAGGCGTGCTTTTTTATAACAAAAGTACAAAACTGTAAATAAATGCACTGCAGCTAAATTATGGTGTTCATTTTTCACATGTTCTAGTCCTTCCCCTGCCTACCCCCCTAATATTCTTAAGAGGGTCTCTTCTCCAGTCTTCCGAGAGTAGCTAAAAGTGGGAAGGGAGAAAATAGTCTTTTCCTTCCACTCTGCAGTTTTAATCTGAAATCTTAGGCGCAGTACTGCGCCCAGAAGCTCAGAAACTGCTAATGAAATTCCCTGTCACAAAAGGCACCTAGAACATTGGGAGTTTCCAACACTGTCTAACAGGTGCTGAACTGATGGGGTCTGGCAGGCCCTACACCGCTGAGACACTGGCATTCAAAAGTTGTACAACCCTACACTCTTTCCAGTGATGGTACCGGAGGAAAATAAGTTTTGATAGCTTCCAGCCAGGAGCTGGTTTATTGTACCTTATTCCAGACAGGGGACTGTCACAAAACCAGCTAGCCAGGAAATGTGAGTAGCAGGTCAGTGGCTGCAAGATGTAATGCTTGTGACAGAATAGCTACTTATAGGGATACTGTAGGCAATGCACCTCTCACTGTGTAGATTGTTCTAGTCAGCAATGGCAGACTCCTTTCTCCCTTTGACTAACCAATTCTGGGTTCAGAGCTCAGCTGCACTGGCATTTTCATCAGTATCGTTGTACTCATGATCCAGAGTTGGTCAATGTGGTACTGTGTATTCTACTCAAACACTTGTTGCAGCCTCCACCTTTCCATCATGGTTGATGCTGAAAACTGTAATGCAATTTAAAAAGAGCAACTTTTAAAATATTACTTACTTTAAAGAAGTATCTCCAACCCCAAGACAGCCTCTCAGACTCAGTTGTCTCAGGAACCCACCACATCTTTTGGAAATATTTTCTAAGACCCGGCCCTTAAACAGATGAAACAAATATCAACTTCATATCTAACCAGATGCCTTTCAAGAGGAGCTCCATGCCAGGAAGAATAATGTCTAAAACAGACAAAAACAAAACAAAAAATGTTTTTATTGCTGAAGACCTCAAGCCAACTCTATTTAAATGAACTGCCAGGGATACTGGAAAGAGCCATATGTGGACATGGCAAAATGATCACTTTTAGCATACACAGATTTCTTCAAAAATAAATATAAATAAATAAAACTTACATGGTGGTAGAAATCTCACACCACATAAGTATGTAGGCTCCAATACTGGAAATGCTCAACTAAAGTATAAAGAACCTGCTAAATCAGGGCCAATTTAAACCACAACCTTTCCTCTTTGCCAGGATGGAAATGCCCCATTCTAGATTTCTATAGGTCTGAAGATTAGTTCTTTGTTAACCTAACTGCATCATAACAACCTGGAATCAGGACAGTATGTGCAGGATTGAGATCAATGTTAGGAAGTGCTTTCTGTTGCAACAATTGAGATACTACACAAAAACATTTAAAACTCAGTGTATAATTATGATCCAATATGTCCATCTATCTCCCATAACAGCAGAGTGCATCATGATGCAGGTCATGAATTCAAGCAGTACCCAACTTCAAGCCAGAGGGTACTAAAGAATTTAAAGATCTTAAAGAGGGTTGGCCTCTCTAAGAATCTAATGTTATCCACAATGGGATGGAGCCTAAGAGAGGAAGTATGAGGGCAGAGGCTTTAAAAAGGCTCAATATGGGCTCAACATTTGTCAGAGCAAGCCACTCATTCAGAGCTATCTGTGGTCCTGCTAGTTCTGATCTGCCTTGCCCTGTGGGATCCAGCCCCAGACCAGAACAGGACACTCTCTCTCTCTCTCTCTAACTATGTGACTGGTGCAAAGAGGAAAAAGATGAACTATAGCAACAATGATGGTGGCAGTCCTAAGCTTCAGTGGTATATGGAAAAACATTTCTTACAAAAAGTTTCATTGATTTCTGTTAAGAAAATACAAAATAAAAGTTTGAAATATTCGTTTTAAGAAAATAATAATAATAATTGAATGCCTTAAAAGAATTATGAAGAGGAGACAGTGAAAGCTCAAGGCATTGTGTAATCCCCTCACCTGGTAAAACCTGTAAATTATTTTTCAACCTTTTGAGAAAGCTGCCTGGCCACCATTTGTTTTATGTACAGAAAAGCAGTTTTTCATTATTATCCCTTACTTTATTTGCAATGTAACAAAGTAAGAAAATGAAACCAGACACAGTGCAATCAGTGGGCAAGAGGTCAGATGAGGTTTTAGTTGCTTGTTGCTCTAAAAAAAAAGATAATTAAAAGCAATTAACTACTTTCAAATCAAAGTTCAACCAATAATGCTAGATAAAAATGTAAAATTAAATCAAACCTGTACTTCAAAGTTTCAGTTTTACATTGTTTTTATGATAGTGAAAAATGTTAAGTTTTACGAACCTCTACATCTGTCTGAAAGTTAAAAAGGTCTATTCTTTGCCAGTTACTCCCATCCAGGGCCAACACATTCCAAGACTGAAATAAACAAAGAACACATATATGCTTGCTATATATGCGCAACATAATAACCAATGTCTTTTCAAAACATCACTCACAAAACGTATGATGAAAGCATGAAGAATTCAGAACCAGGATTTTTCCATGTTTAAAATGGTCCTTAGTTGAGGGAAACTACTTTTTAAGCAATATTTTAAGGCCCAGTTTCTTGAGAGATAAATATCCTGTAAGAGTGCAAGAATATTACCTAAATGCAAAGTTGGATGAAATAATACTTACTTGGTATGATAAAGTAGCTAGGAGTGCAACTTGTGAGCCAACTTTTAATTTCACCTCAGTTATGAACTCACTAGGAAGCCTTAAACAAACCACTATTCTCTTTAGCTTAAACTACAATATGGAGCTAATACACACAAGCCATTTTGCAGGGCTGTTAAACAATGTGATCCTATACATCAGAGCTTTCCAAACTGTGTATCAGCTGCAGTGTGGAGGTGTGTCACATCAAGCTGATCGCCATTTTTTTTTTTTTTTACCTTAGGAGAATTACTATTCTCCCTCTGCTGAAGCGACTGAAGCCTCTCAAGAAGCAGAGCGGCACACCCTGAAAATCAGCAACAAATCCTCTCTCTTTTTTGCAATTATTTACTCATCTTTCCTCCAAATGCACCAACCTCCCCCAACAATATTCCTAGGAAATCCCAAAGCCATTTTTTTCTTTCTCCCCAGGGCAGCTAGAACAGAATAGGAAGGTGTGTCTAGTATTGAAATCTCCCAAAAAACTCTCTCAAGGAGTCCTGATAATGGTAATAGGGCAGTCTCTAGATTTAACCCTCACCAGGGGAAGAGAGAGGGGAAAAACAAGGAAAGCTTATTTCCAGGTTTGTAGCAAGCAAAACAAAACAAAACCACCACTCTGTGCTTTCTCCTTCCAGCACAAAAACAGGCACCAAGGCTGCAATCCAAGTTGAAAGGCTGTGCATGGTTACGACTTTCTCGGGCTGCCCTCCTCAGGTCCAAGTGTTACAAGACTGCTCAGGGAGGACATGGCAACCATGAACCGTTCGATCAGGATGCATGTTGTCGTGTCCCCACACCATCCTCCCGGAGCGGCCTTGCAAAGCTCAGATCCATGGATGGTGGCACAAGAAGGTGGCTGCAGGGTGGGGGCTGGGCACACACACCCCCGTCCCGGGAGGCTTGCATACACGCTGCACCTCTGGAGAGCATCTCTAGTTTGCTAGTAAAACTGAATTGGCGTGTTGCAAAATAATGCATGTCTAAAAAGTGTGTCACCAACATGAAAAGCTTGGAAAGCACTGTTATCCATGTCCACTCAGAAATAACCCCAAGTTCAATGGGGCTTAGTCCGAGGCAAGTGGATACAGGATTGCAGCTTTCATAAATGCATATTATTATTATTATTATTATTATTATTATTATTATTATTCTACCACCACATCAATTGTTTCCCCATCTATACATGTTAGAACTAAGCTGAAATGTAAGGAATATGGTTCATAAACTATGGTTTGGTGCTACCTCGGGTTACATACAGTGGGTACCTCGGGTTACATACGCTTCAGGTTACAGTCTCCACTAACCCAGAAATAGTGCTTCAGGTTAGGAACTTTGCTTCAGGATGAGAACAGAAATCGTGCTCCAGCGGCGCAACAGCAGCAGGAGGCCCCATTAGCTAAAGTGATGCTTCAGGTTAAGAAGAGTTTCAGGTTAAGAACGGACCTCTGGAACGAATTAAGTACTTAACCCAAGGTACCACTGTACTAACATTTATCCCAAAACTCTCTCTCACAGGACAGCTAACGTGTGTGCTTCAGGTTAAGAACAGTTTCAGGTTAAGTACGGACTTCCAGAACGAATTAAATACTTAACCAGAGGTACCACTGTACTGAATAAGCCTCAGGCTTATCACCTCTCCTTGCTCCTTCACTGATGCAAGGAGGCGGCTAGAAGACTTTGCTTCCATTTTTAGTTAATCACAGTTTAGCATTATGTTTTAAATAAACGGCTGTGGATATTTACTACAGTTTACCAAAGCAAACAAACTTCACATTGTGGCTTTTAAAGTTTGTTTGCTTCAATAAACCATTGCTATCATTAACCACAGTTCAGGATTCAAACACCACACTAAACAATGGTTAATTGAAAAAGGATCCAAACTCCCCCTCATGGTAAAAGAGGAAGGAGGACCATTCAAGCTTTGTAAGCACACTCTTTTTTCTGCTATACAGTTAAAACAGTGAGATTCCAAAGACAATTAATGTAAGTGTACATTATGCATTCATTTTTTTACTTAAAGAAATGAAATTACAAAGCAAATACCTAGCAGTACCTTAGAAACTTGTGCGCATCGACACAAGGTAATTACATCCAAGAAGGAAAATATTCTAAAAGAAAGTAAAAAAGAAAGAAGTAAAACTGTTCTTCAACAATCCAGTCTAATATACTCCTGTAAACATATTAACTCAAGTTAAAAACATATAGATCAGTCAGATCAGGGTAGTATTTGAAAGCTGCCAACCAAAGATGTTTTAAAGGCAGTTATAAGAACTTTTCTCACATATAGTCTAAGTACATACAATTACACAGCTTGAAGAATGTTACAGCAAGGTGTAACACAGGGGTAGTCAACCTTTTTATACCTACCTCCCACTAATGCATCTTTCTTGATAGTAAAATTTCCTTACCGCCCACCAGTGCTTGATGGAAGGATTCAGCTTGTGCCGTAGAACCCCCTACCGCCCACCTAGAATCCTGAAACGCCCACTAGCGGGCGGTAGGGACCAGGTTGACAACCCCTGGTGTATCATATACCAGCAATATATATATTTATTCCATACAATTCTGGATAAGCTACTAGATAAACTCTCTTTGAGACCTTTCTGTTCCCATCAATCTAAGGGTAAGAAAACTATAATTAGGAAATAGCCTACTAGATATTGTCATGTAACTCAGGACCCTTCTGCCCAACTATGCTGTTCTGTGTGCTTAAGAAGAAAATCAAAGTCTCAGCTGCCACACTCAGTACACAAAGTTAAGCCACACAGAAGAGTCTAGAAGTCCCACTTGATTGTATCAAGCAAAGGAGAGGAATAGAACTTTTTTTATTGTCACTGGTACCTGTAAATGCAAACCAAAAAACAATTTCGCTCAGCAGAGGTTTATGGTGGATAGTTGATTTTAACTTTGGAAAGAGTTAAGAGAACATTATATCTGCAGCAACTCATACACTCAATATGAAACTCATATTTCATGCCTATATTTTATCTGCTACAGGGGTAATAGCAGCCTGAGAACAATGGTGTATGGAGGATGAAAGAAGCCCCTTCTTCCACTGCTCTCATCAAAATTGCAACTTTCCCCCCTCTCCACTGATGCTTTAAAATTTAAAAGGGCAAAGTATGGGGGAAGTGAGCAAAGAGATAATGGAAATCCAGCATCAACTCCAAGTGGACACGAGTAGTCAATTCTCTGTTAGTTCTTATGCAAATTACCTCCCATTCCCATGCCATAATAAAAAAATATCCTGTATTTACCAACTTTTCTAAAGCTTGATTTTTTCACAGAAAATTCCAAATTGACAACAATGAAAAAGCTATTGTTTCCTAGCTGCATTGGTAACGCGCTTTTAAAAAGCTATCCTCAAACTACATACTGACACATTTTTGCAACAAATGAAGTTAAAACTAGGCATGTATAAGTTTTTATAAAACTTAGATTTGAAACGAATGAAATCCATTTTATAAGCAATAATCAGATTAAAACTATAAACTTCTAATGTAGAATTACCTTAAAAGGAGTTCTTTTGGCAACTTTCTGTTAATAAGAGCTTCATCATCATTTGAGAGTGCCTAAAAAGAAAGAGAAAGAAACCACAGTATTTTGAATGACTGTTCCTTTAGATCAGTGGTTTCCAACCTTTTTTTGGCCATGCCCCACCTAAGCATCTCTAAAATCCTGTTGCCCCTCCTGTGATATGTAATTCTTATTCAAAAAGTGAACTATTCACATGGAGGAAGCCTAAAAGGCCATTAAAAGGTAAAGGTCCAGTCGTGACCGACTCTGGGGTTGCGGCGCTCATCTCGCTTTATTGGCCGAGAGAGCCAGCATACAGCTTCCGGGTCATGTGGCCAGCATGACTAAGCCGCTTCTGGTGAACCAGAGCAGCACACGCGAACGCCGTTTACCTTCCCGCCGGAGCGGTACCTATTTATCTACTTGCACTTTGACGTGCTTTCGAACTGCTAGGTTGGCAGGAGCAGGGACCGAGCAATGGGAGCTCACCCCGTCGCAGGGATTTGAACCGCCGACCTTCTGATCGGCAAGTCCTAGGCTCTGTGGTTTAACCCACAGCGCCACCCATGTCCCTTAAAAGGCCATTAACTTGGTCTAACTCATTCTTGCCCCCCCCAATCAAATCGCCCCCCTGTGGGGTGTGTGCCCCATGTTGGGAACCACGGCTTTAGATCATGATGCCCTACAGATTCAGTTGTACTCTAATTTTCATTAATCCAATGGCTGATTGTCAGAGATGACAGAAGCTGTATGCCAACAATATCTGAAAGGCATCACACTGGCTATTTCTGCTTTAGGCGAGCCATGTATTTTTTTTCCTAATAGGAAATCAACAAGACCATTTCAAGCAGAGTTGAAATGAATAACTTTGAGATCAAGAAAAAAATAGATATAAATATGGAACAAACATATGTTAGTCAGTTCATAAGTTTATTGTTTTAGCCAAAGGCTGTGACAAACTTGTAGAAATAATAATAAAATAATACAGAACATCGATAATATATAATCCAACATATATGATATAAAAGAAAGAAGATACCAGAGACACCACCAAGTCTAAATCTAGCTTAATTTCAGATTAAACCTCCGAGTCACCAAAACAATTTATAGTGATTTTATCTGACTCATTTTTCCTGATCTTTTTTGTATCCAGTGCATAAATGGCCGCTCTCTGTGTTACGAAGCTTTAATTGCCATTCAAAAGAATTGAAACATTTCTGCTGGGGAACACCTGCTTGCTTCTGAGAATGAAGGTTTCAAAAAAGGGTTTTCTTGGGTCTCTATATAAAGGATAGGCTAACAGATAATGAGTGATGTCTTCCGCCTAAGGCTGACCACAAATATAAAGCCAGTCTGCATATGGAACCTGTGGTGGCCATCACTTGGAAACACAGCTCAATAAGGATATTTTTAAGGAAACTGGTGAGAGTTTGGTCAAATAACTAGCTCTAAAATGCTGTTCTCAGGTGTGGGGGGAAATTTGGTGTTCCTAATTAGTTGCAGGTCCCTTCTGGATTCTAACCAGAAGAGCCAATCCCTAAATTGACACTTATTCAATGTCAATGCAGAGCTCAGTTCTGGAAAATAGTAATAGTCTAAAACAAATTGACAAGCAGCTTTTTATATTGAATTGGGAAGCAGCTATCAGGTTCAGAAGGCCACCTCCATATTACCTGGGTTGCCACCACCAAAGTCCACATTGGGTTCCTTTGTAATCTTTGTGCTGATAAAATAAAGTATCAACTTTTAAGTTTCATAACTAAATTTAAATGTGTTCTCTCTTTTGCAGCAGTGGAAGCATGAACACTGCTATAAAATATAAATATCGTAGCACAAGCATTTGTGAAATTATGCTATTAGCCAATTCCACCCCCACCCCCTGGATACAATTCCCTATTATACACAATGCATTTAATCCTCTTAAAGTAGTAATGTTTAGGGTCTGTTTGTTTTTAAAGGATTCCACATATTTATCCCCCCCCCCCCGCCCCAATGGCAGTTTTTGAGAGGGTGTCAACTGGGAAAAGTCTAGAAATTCCCTAACTTTAAAATATTCATTTTAACAAACTAATGGAGGTCATATGTGAAAGCTTGAAAATCACATCAATTGCACCGATTGCTTTGATTCAAAATTGCTGAGTAATTCAACAGCTTCATTACTGTGAATATACTCCAGAAGGTTGGTTGTGCTACTCTACTATAGCAAACAAAGATTAACAAATGTATCGTGACAAACATTTCTGGGCTAGAGATAGTCAAAGTCATTTATGCCATGTCCCTGAAAGATTATGCTGCAACAAATTTGAATTTTTAGTGTTTTATGGTTTCTGGTATTAGCACAATTTCCTCCAAAAATTACCCAAGCTACATAATTTATTTTAAAATTTAAGACAGGGTTAAATGGCACTGAAAAACGCTTCTTAAATTACTTATAATTACTTCAAGTTATGAAGACAGGAGTGTTCTATGATATGAATTCCCTGGCATTTTTAAGTCAATTTTTTAAAAGCTGAGGGCTACAGTACAAAACCTAGATCTGTGTCCATTTCACAAGCAGAGAAAGAAAATTGACAAAACATCTGCAGCAAGGCTTCTCCTCTCTCCACTTTCCCAAGGGGGACTGGCTATAACACTGTGTTGGCTTACAGGAGGATCACAGACTTGAGAGTGGTTGGAAAGGATTGCAGAATACTGCTTTACATATTGAACAGCTTACAGCTAGAATAAATAATAGAAAGAAAAGAGCAATTCTAACCAATGTTGCCTGGAAAACTGGAAAACCAATGTTGCCTGGCCAGGACAAAGCCTGCTCAGTCTCCTCCTCCTCCCCCATCTCAGCGAGAGGCTGGGTCTTCCTCGCTCCCTCCCCACCTAGGGAAGCCTAGTTTATGTTGATTAATATTGTTCTTCATTTTAAATATTGTATTTTTTTCCTGTTTTTTGTGCACTACTAATAAAATATGTGCAGTGTGCATGGGACAGTGAATCGGCTCGCTGTTTAAAAAGTTTGAGGACCCCTGCCCTACAGGCTACACAGAAAAAGCGTTTTGGTTCCTGAAATTCATTCCAATTGTGCAGATGAAACATAATTAATATAATTCTACAAGGTGTAGTATTAGTGTGAGAAAGCAGTCATGATCCAATGATCCCCAAGCACGAACCTCCAGATGGTGATGTTAGGCACCACCCTGGCCCCCAGGAATCTTTACTTGGTCTCAAGTGGCCAATAGTCAGGTCAGGTGCAAAATTTCAAACACTGCACACAACATTAATTTAATCTGCTTATAGTAACTGACAGGTACTTTAGTTATACCGCAGCCAGTTTTGATCAGTGAAGAAATTTGGTAGAATATTGTCAGCATTATCTTTTCTCTTTATACGTTAAACTTTTTTTTCAAAAAAAAAAAAAAAAAAAAGTAAGGAGCCTGGAATACCCTACAGTCTATACAGTGGTACCTCGGGTTAAGTACTTAATTCGTTCCGGAGGTCCGTTCTTAACCTGAAACTGTTCTTAACCCGAAACACCACTTTAGCTAATGGGGCCTCCTGCTGCCGCCACGCCGCAGGAGCACGATTTCTGTTCTTATCCTGAAGCAAAGTTCTTAACCTGAAACACTATTTCTGGGTTAGTGGAGTGTGTAATCTGAAGCGTATGTAACCTGAAGCGTATGTAACCCGGGGTTCCACTGTATCTACTCTCCTGTCCCCATCTCCCACTTCAACAGCACAACTGCATCTTTTCAAGCATTTCATTGCTCTGGTTCAGTTAGCTTTCAGGGCTTAGGATGCATTCAAGATGCAACAAGGCAAGACAGCAGTTCCATATAAAACAAGAATAACAGTAACCCTCATGTGTTTCTCCACCTAAAATTGCTTTTTCAGATTTTTCTCCTCATGGGAGAAGTTTACTATGTTAAAATGGCAGGTTTTAAAAAATATTTAAGGGTGAAGTGCAGAGGCATCTGCTCCCTTCTCCCACGCACTGCATTTAAAAACTTTTCCACCCCACTTCCTTATAGGGATTTGACAGTACGCGTGATTCTGCACATGGATCTGTTGCTGACACAAGTTTGCTTAAATGTGGGTAATGCTTAATCAAAGAGATGAATAAGCAACTATGCTAAAAAAGGAGCAACAGCTGATTCTAGCTTCCTAATGAGTGTGCCTGTATGAGGTTTTGTAAGTTTATATTCAATGTAAAAAAAAGAAACAGGTTGATTTAAAGATGACAAAAAACCAATAACAATAAACAACCAACCAAGAATGCCTGCACAAAAATAATTTTGGGGAGAAATAAATCTTGCCAGATAGCAAAAAAGACAAGAGTAAGTATCAAGTGAACCTCTTTGGGGAGAAGGTTCTAAAGGGGAGGGGGTCACATCCTAGAAGGTCACTGCCATCTGCCTCACTTTGGATGAAAGGCACCCAAAGAAAGACTTCCAAATATTTTCAGTGTACAGACAGGCTCCTGTTGGAGCAGGTGCTCCCGTAAGTTTCCAAATACCAAACCCTGTATTACTAGAAGCAAGCACCAGCATTTTGAATTGTACTCAGAAGGCTGCTAAAGAACTGGAGATATGTGTTCGCACTGACTGCTCCCAGCCTAGTAGCAAATACCCAATACCCATGCTATCCATTAACCAGCCTTTTTATTGGCATCTCATAAAATGATTACTCAACAAACAGGTGACTTAAATAGGGAGGCTCTCTCTCTTTTACTAATCTCATTTATAAAGTCCACCACCTCTGGACCATTCTTTGAATATATCAAAGATTACTGAAGTCAGAGTTCAGGAAATGTTTATCTTTTCTTCCAATGTTGGAAAAGACCATTTTTAACTGCAGAAACATCTGCATTTTATTTAAATGCATGAACTTGACGCAATATCAGAATGAAGTTTCCAGTGAACTGCTTCATTGCAAGTAAATAACAATGGGAATTTTGCATGCTTTATCAGATATGGGGTGACAATACTTGCAGCAGACCAAAAATGAGCGAAGAAAGCCAGCAGCTACAAACATTCAAACCGCTTCCCCACATAATACAAACTGTTTTGATTTCCAGCTGTACTTCAGATACAGTATCTATTCTGAACAAGAACAAAAAGTTTTATTTGATGCTGCTGTCTGCTGCGCAATAAACGTCCACACATGCACACAAGGTTTGCGAAAAATATACAAAAAGGTGCAGGAAACTACTCTCCTGAAGTGCCAAACTCAAAAAAACAAGGTTGGTTAGTCAACGAAAGCCATCTTACAATTTCCTTTGCTGATGCATCTACCACACTCCACCCAGGAGCGGGAAAAAGGAGGGGGGTTCATCTCCTGTCCCCCGAGATCTTCCTTTTCCTTTCCCCAACTCCTCCCTACAGAAAACAGGCGCCAACTCCTAGGGGCAGAGGTCCATTCGTGCCCTCTCCCTCCCTATAAAATATTTGATTCCCCCCCCCCCCCCGTCCCCAGTTGGGTATTGCCATTCAAATGGTGCGGGTGCACCTCGTCATGCGATCGATAATGCAGGGCGGGGCTTCCTCGAATATTGTATTCCAGTTGGCGCCCCTGCTACGGAGCCTGAGACACAGGGTGCCGGGCGGTGCCTGCCACCCCGCCCTCTCCCAGCTGCCCGTTCTCACGTGCGTGCACGCGCCGCCGCCGCCGCCACCACACAGCGACGCTGCCCCGAAGCTCGCGTTCCGCCTCTGCGCCTCCACAAGCACCATTTTTCCTGCCGGGTCCCTGCGGACGTCCCCACCCGTCCCCCTCCATCTTAACGCGCATCGTACGGAGCCGTTGCCGCCTTGCAACGCTTGTGCCGTGAGGAGGGGAGGACGACGCCCGGTCCTCTCCCCCTGCAGGAATCCCAGCCGCCCTCCCCCGTCCCGGACACCGTCTCCACAATGCCGCTTTCGAGCCCTTCGCAGCCCCCCGACCCCAAAGAGGAGCCGCCCTGCCGCGCCCCTCCCTCACCGCCACCTTCCTCGCACCCAAACGCCGTCCCCGCCGCCTCAGGCCCCACCCTACCTAGAGCCGTATCTGTGTATCTCTACCTATCTCCGCCCATATCGAATCTCCACAGAACGGCCCGCCTGCTTTCCCGCGCGCGAGGGGCAGGCGGCGGTTTAACGGCCCGTCGGACGGCGGGGGGGGGGGAGGTGAGAGAATAAAACGACCCACCATTGTGAGGCAATAGCGGGCCGCCGGTTGTCCCGGTGACGAAGGAGCCGCTCGAGAGGCCGGCCGACCGACCAACCAGCTGAAGCGGCGGCGGGACCTGCGCTTTGCTCTCGCGCGCCGCCCAGCGAGCGAGCGAGCGAGGCGGGGAGAGAAGCCGAGTGAGAGGCGGCGGCCGCCCTGAGGCGCGCAAGAGCGAGGAGGAGGAGGGGCGTTCGCGGATTGGGGGAGCCGGTGGCACGTGATTTTCCGCCGGCGCGAGCCGCTCGAAATGGGCGGGGCTTGCATGAGCTGCAGGGGGGGGGGGGGGCAGAAAGCGGCGCTTCGCTCAACTACCTGTTCCCGGATGTTGAGCCCTAAGGGGAGCTTGGTACCGTTAACGGAATGCGAATCCAGAACTTTCCTGGAACGCTACACTTCGGAACGCGGGGGGGGGGGGCGGGAGGGAGCCGATGACATGTCCGAATGCTCCCTGTAAAGACGATGCGGGGGGGGGGAATTATGCGGACCAGCATTCTGTCCCTCATGCCCCGTTTTCCCTAGGGAAGCGTAGGGGGGAAAGCCCTCCCTCGGTCTTGCCGTCCGTTGCAATGGGGCCGGCCCCACCCGCGAAGCAAAGTGAGGCGGCCCCTCTCAGGCAGGAGAGGCAGCGGGTCCGGCCTCCAAGGAATGCCTTGACCGCTTCTGTGCTACAGGGCGCTCCTTGGAGGCTGGATCTGTCGCCGCCCCAACAGCTCCGCCCCAGTCAGGCCGCCTCTTGTTCTTTATGTAGACCGCTCACCCATTATTACTGTATTATTATTATTATTATTATTATTATTATTATTATTATCATCATCATCATCATCATTCTTTCTTATTATCATCAACACTATGATTATTATAATCATTCTTTTTTATTATTATATTTATTTATTTATATTTAATTTGTATACCGCCTTTCATCCCAGGACACTTCACAACAGAATCATGCAAAACGAGAAGACAAAGTGCCACGCAAAACCAATCACCCTCACCCACCAAAACACATTTCCGTAGCCATAGAATGTGAATCAGCCCAAGCCAGACTTACCTGGTTATTCCTGTTGTAGATCTGGAAGGTTGCCCATGAGGAGATGCACAAGGAGAGCCTCACTCTTGCCCTAAAACAGGTCGGCAAGGTTTACATTGCTTGGGCCGGTTCACTCTAGCGGAGATCCCGCCATGGGCCAGATAGTGCGTGCGCGCAATTTCCAGCGTCTGCGCAGATGCAATTTCCGGCATGTGCAGACGCGATTTTCAGCGCTGTGGAAGCGAGTCGCTGTGCTGCACTGGTTTAGTGCAGCGCATGGGGACACGCCGAGCGGGTGGGTTGGTTCAGGGGCGGCTTGTGGGCCAGTTAAACGACCCCCATGGGCTGCTTGTGGCCCATGGGCCTTAGGTTGCCTACCCCTGCCCTAAAAGGACATATCTTTTCTGTCTCAAAGCAGTGTTTGGAGAGTGCCATTTGAAGCAAAGACATGTCTGAGGAGGGTGCTCAGCCTTTCCAATTGTTGCTGCTTCTTTTTAACTGCAGCATCAAACCATGCAGCCTGTTTTATTCCTACCAAGTCCTCGAGTTCCAAAACAACTCCAGATGTTTTGCAGCATGCCTGCTGGTGCAAATCTCAACACGGTAATGAATTATCCCACCCCCATGCCTCTGCCCGTACTTCATCATGTTGCAGTTCCAAATCCAGAACAAGAAATTTTAATGGTCATGTCATTCAGTCTTAACTGTAATGCCACACAGAACCCCCCTTTGTGTTGAGCCAGAATAAAGGTAAGTAACAGTTGCTGGAAGAGGGCACCCTCCCCTCTCTCGGTGGTTCATGCATATGTATGGGTGTTTGCATGCATGTGCACGGTTGCAAGGGGTGTGGTTTTATTGTGTGTGTGTGTGTGTGTGTGTGTGTGTGCATGTAGCATATGCATCTCTGTACATTTGGTTGTGGGGTTTTGTGCGGCTGCAGGGATGGGTGTGTGGTTGCAGGATGGGTGGTCGACACAACAATTTCTCACATTCTCCAAAGGATGGCAATCCCTGGTTTCATCACTGTACAGTACTGTCATATTCCACAACTAAAGGAATAAGCATTGTACATTTGTTGTTGTTTAGTCGTGTCCAACTCTTCTTGAATCCATGGACCAGAGCACACCAGGCACTTCTGTCTTCCACTGCCTCCCGCAGTTTGGTCAAACTCATGCTGGTAGCTTCGAGAACACTGTCCAGCCATCTCGTCCTCTGTCGTCCCCTTCTCCTTGTGCCCTCCATCTTTCCCAACATCAGGGTCTTTTCCAGGGAGTCTTCTCTTCTCATGAGGTGGCCAAAGTATTGGAGCCTCAGCTTCACGATCTGTCCTTCCAGTGAGCACTCAGGGCTGATTTCCTTAAGAATGGATACGTTTGATCTTCTTGCAGTCCATGGGACTCTCAAGAGTCTCCTCCAGCACCATAATTCAAAAGCATCAATTCTTCGGCGATCAGCCTTCTTTATGGTCCAGCTTTCACTTTCATACATCACTACTGGGAAAACCATAGCTTTAACTATACGGACCTTTGTCGGCAAGGTGATGTCTCTGCTTTTTAAGATGCTGTCTAGGTTTGTCATCGCTTTTCTTCCAAGAAGCAGGCGTCTTTTAATTTCGTGACTTCTGTCACCATCTGCAGTGATCATGGAGCCCAAGAAAGTAAAATCTCTCACTGCCTCCATTTCTTCCCCTTCATGGATCACTGCCTTGTCGTGGCGAAGGGGCTTGAATAACTCGGAGAAACTATGAGCTATGCCGTGCAGGGCCACCCAAGACGGACAGGTCATAGTGGAGAGTTTTGACCAAATGTGATCCACCTGGAGCAGGAACCGGCAAGCCATTCCAGTATCCCTGCCAAGAAAACTCCATGGACAAAGACAACAGGCATATAAAAGCATTCTACATAGCAACCACTAGATGGCTCCCTCTGCAAACGTCGACATACTGGCAAAATTCTACTTTCAAAATTTAAACTGCATGCATAGCTTATGATTATGCTTAATTTTACTGAAGTTTTGACAAGCAACTGTATTTAGCAGATAACTGTTTATTGTGGTTACTAGTGCCCCTCATGTATGTGTTTTTAAAGCATCCACACAACAGTTGTTGGCATCAAAATATCAGCCCTTATTTTCTTTCCACTTAATCCAGATTCACCCTTTACTCAGATAATTTTTCCATCATGTTGCCATATATCTGGATTTTCCCTGACATTTTGCCATTTCGGCAAAATACTGCCAATGCCATTTTTACACCCAAAAACCAGGACATGTCAGGAATTTTCCTGACATATGGCAAGCCTAGTTTTGGCTATACTGTACACAATTTTGGCTTCATGAGCTATTCCCAGAATGTCAGTTGAGAGTCACCTGTGCAACAAATCTGAGCAATGATCAAAACACAAAAACTGAAAGACAGGAGGAACTGAAAGGTAGCAAGAACTTGAAATCCAGGAAAAAACAATCACCAGGATTGTGATTGTGGCTAAAATGACTGAGGAAATAGTTAGATCTTTGCCTGACACTGAAAGGACAACAATATAGATATCAGCAGGATCTCCCTTGGGGAAATACAGTATTCTGATGTTAGGGCCCCACCACTGAAAAGGCTCTCTCCTTTATCTTTTTCTATCTTTTACAAAGGAATGCTTTTTAGCACACTAGCAAGAAACCATTACCTGGCTGTGATTTTCCCTACTTCACTTTCCTACTTACTAGCATAGAGCTGTAAAGCTAGCTGTTATGTAGGATCCACAATATTATGTCACAGTGTATTTTCAGCCCTAACAGAATTGTTCCTATTCACAGTTTGCAGCCAACCTGAAAAAGGAATCTAGAACTTACAAGAGGGGGAAAGTTTCAGAAGAGGGGAAAGGAAAAATTACACTCCTCCCTCCCTTGCAACCTCCTGAAACCTTCCCCCACTGTGCTATAAATTCAAATTCTGTATTTCTTTCCTCTGTCCTCCATTTGTCCAGTTTCCCTCAATTCACTATTTTTGTTATAATGAGTGGAAACCTGCATTTTTATGTTGATATAAATGTCTGGTTGTTAGTTCAAAAGGGGAAATTAATTTTCCTTCATTTACACATAGTTGTTGTTTCCTAGAAGTCTGTCTTTTTTTTGACTACTAGGAAAAAAAGAAGAAAGAAATATTCAAAAAGTGAAATAAACTAGATTTTTATTTAATATTTTACTCCTGCCTTTCTGTCAGCTGCAATAACACAGAGAGAAACAACCAGTAAGTCACATGAGTAAAACCAGACAGAAACAACTGCTGTACCTATTACTGCCGTGTGTGAGAGAGGCTGGAAAGACTTCAACATGTCCAAAAATTATTATAATAACAAAAGAACAAGCTATGAAACCAGAACTGTAGTTTTAAAAACTCTACCTTCCTTGTACAAAGGATTATTTTTCATCAGAATACATGTTGTGTAATTTATTCCTTCATTAATTGCAATATTAATGTCAAAACCTCAACTTCCTGATAAAAAAAAATTCAGTAGTCCCATAATAATTCAATGGACAGTTTTTTACTGTGATGCAATAACAACTGCCACTCCATTCCGCTGAATGGTTTGTCTAGAAATTGCTCAATTTTACATAACTATTCTCCTTTTAAAAGTGCATATGTGAAATAAATTATACTAGGGAATGCAGCTGTCAAATATTTATTTAGCATTTTAGTTCTTGAAAATCTCTTGCCAATCAGATAAAATTCATTTTCAATTCTTTTCCCCTGACATCATACTCCTAGTGTGCAAATTCTAGACACAGAAGTAACAACTATGTTGGTGTTGGCTTGTTGTGAAAATACGCAGGAATTTTAATATACATTTTAATGTATTCCAAAAGTCAGATTAACCATGGCTTAGTTTTTCCCTTAACAGAAAGTACTCGGTGTATTATGCTATTTATAATTCAAGCTAAGTCTGAATGTTGGCTAAACTCAAGA